CTAAAAATATAGCATCTTCCAAGACTTTTAAAGAAGGCTTCCTTGTGCATAGACCCTCAACTAGAGGTGCAAGATTTGGCATTCCTTGCTAACAGCGAGAACATGGAGCATTCTATTGCTCATCAACAGGGTCAAGGACTAGAGTTAGTTCTGGCCAAGTATCATTTAGTGGATCATGCTCGAAGGTAACAATCCTTACTTCATCAATAATCAGTGCATCCTCCTTGAAGCCAAAAAGGAATATAAGAACTAAAAGATCTTTGTTGACAAAGCCAGTGGATAGTGGCTCACCTTGGCTTTGCTGGGAGAAGTCATCTTTAATGAAGATCACATCTGTATTGATGATTGTCTCTTTGGTTGCCAACTATATTCTTTATTTTGTGCATAATCAACGAAGATAAGCTTTTGACTCTTCGGATTTAGTTTCTTGCATAGCTAGTCAGAAAGGTGGCACAACCAAAAACACAGAGGTGAGATACATCTGACTTCTTCCCTGTCCACATCTCTTCAAAGGTCTTCCCACTCAAGGCAACTGTTAACAACCGATTTTGAATGTATGATGCTATGAGCTTTTATCCAACTTAGCTCCCACCAAGAGGCTGTAGGTAGTATTCACAAATGGGTGATTCTTGCACTCAGCAATGCCATTATGTTGAAAAGTGTACCGAGTGATAATTTGGTGGGAAATTCTAATAGCAAAATAAATCTGTTGAAAAGCATTATTGAAGTGATCTTTGACTCCATTAGTTTGTATGGCCTTTAGTCTTCTCTCAAGCTTTGTCTCAAAATGGGATTTATAGAATTTAAAAGCTTCAATAGCTTCACTTTTATTTCGAAGAAAAAAGATGCACATCTTCCTGTTGTAATCATCAATAAACATGATAAAGTATCTTGCTCCAAAATAGCTTGGGACCTCCATTGGTCCACACAAATTAGCATAAGTGGTAATTTCTATAATGGTGTTTTCTAAGCACACACAACTCATAAAAGGCATCAACAAACTCTCTTTTCAAGTCAAGTCCTATGACTATGCCTTTCATGTGTATTTCCTGCATAACTCTATAGTTGGCATTCCCGAAGCAGCAATGCCATAAAAAGACATTATTGTTTTTTGCTCTAGTCAAAGGAAGATGCTCAATATTTACCACATACTGCCCTCCTAAAGTAATCTCATATAAGTTTCCTTGATTCTCCCCATGTAAAAGCTTCATTCCAGATATTAGGGCAGTCATACCATGCTCCCAACACAACTTGAATTGGTCATGATCAGTGCATCTAGATTCATCTATGACTTGAATGATTACTCCCTCACAAGCTCTTAGCAGCTCTACAACCTTGAGAGCCTTTAGCAGCTCCATCTTGAGAGTTTTCCTCATCTCACCTAGCATATCCATTGTAGCCACTTCCAGTTCTTGGCATGCCTCCTCACTGCACATTGCAACCATGTTTAGCACATGATTTGTTTGCCACATTTAGCTGGCTGCATCTTGCATACATAGCTTGATGAGCCTTATGGGTTTGTGCTCCCTCCTTGTGTAGCAAGGAGGTGTTTATCAATCTGCTGATTGCATCATTGAAGGTGAGATTTGGCTCCTTCATCAGCTCTTTTGCACACCCTTCCCATTCTTGTGGCAAAGTTTTATAGAGCCTCACTTTCTACAACCTTATGCTCTTTACCTTTTGCAGCCAAATTCACAAATAGTCAGTTTAAACACTTCATGTGTTCAACATATCACCCTTGTTCTGGAAAACACACACATTTAGAAATGAATGGATCCTCATGACCTCCATATCACTCTTCTTGCTATAGGTGTGATCCAGCCATTTCTAAACATGGGCTCCTCCTTTTCCCATATCCACCTTGATCAAGATCCTATGACTCAAGTAGGCAGCCAACAGCCCATTGATTCTTGGTCCTCCAGTCCCTCAAAGCCCTTTAAGCCTCCAATCCATGACTGACAATTGGCTCTAGATTAGAGAGATCCATAATGCCATACACTCCTTGGAATTGAACCCATGCTTCCATGAGTTTCTTCCAGAGACCAAAATCCTTTCCACTGAAAACAAACAGCTTTGTTCCTCTATCATGCCATACTGTTTACAGACCCACATGAGCAATGGCATGGCTGAGAGTAGAGGAGTGGAGCTCCAATACCATGTTAGAGAAAACTCAAAGGTACAATAGCATAGTCCACATACTTGAGTTCCCGCTTATATCTCAACATGACTCTTCACGACAAACTTGCCAAGGCCATGGACAGGGTGCATTGAGCTCATTGAAACTGAGCTTGTGCACAAACCTCTAGAGCTTCATACACAGATCACGAATAATATCCAGTGTTAAGTGTTTCTCACTCTCTTTCAAGCACTTTCAACTTAAGGAATGATTTAGCTAGAAATGCTTGAATGAGATCATATTAGCATGCAGCAGCACCACTTTGCTGTTGTTTGTTACCTTTACCAGCCTCTTCGTGGATCGCCAACTAGGCTCATCCAAGATATTGAGTCTATTCGTTCTGGCTCACTGCTTCACTTACATTTTTTCTGTTGTGTTCTACAATGCCAAATATACCATTATTATTACCACGAATCATGATTAAGCTGCCTCAATAATTAGTAGCAGCTCCCCAATGCCACACAGCTTGCCATCGGAGAATTCAACCATAGTATCTCTTCCATTACTTTCTCTCAAATTTTGTGTGTAGAAGAAGCATTAGTTTGTGATTTCATGATGCCAGGGAAGGATCTCTTTTGTGTTTGAGTCTCAACAACATTGGTTTATGTTTTTTGAAATGATAACTCTGAAATTTTTCATACACAATCACATCACTAGCCTTCCAGTTATAGCTTGTAGTTCAGACTATAGCTCATGATTCTATCTTGGGTAAGCCAAAGCTCCAACATTCCTCACTATCATATTTATTTTTGCATTCCTTGATTTCCTTATAAATTTCTTAATTTAAGACATCAAGTAGCACTAAACTTTTCTTCCATACTCTCCAGGAATTCAACTAAGATCTCTTGGTTCAATTTGGATCTAAGGGTGTTGCTTGGCACTAGATGCTAAAGGCTTCTTGTTGTGGATGAATCTGGAAAGTAATATAAACTTGCTCAATTAAGAATTTTTATATGAACTTCCCACATGAGATTGAAATGTGAGCAACTTTGAAATTCAAATGTGCTGTTAAGAAGTAATCATCTAATTTGGGTTTCTTGAGTGGCCACTTTCCTTGATAGCTAGAAACAAGGAAACACATTCTTTGGGTGAATGCATAACAATGTAATTTAAAAAGTAGTTGAAATAACCCTAAAATTATTGATTTTTAATTTTTTACTAAAAAATTAGTTGATTTTCATCACATTTCTTCAATATTTACCATGCACTTTCTTAAAAGTTAAACAATAAAGTTGCAAAGTTGTTTTATTTTCTAAATGTCCTAATAATATATATTACTTCATAAAATTTGTATAGATCCAATAATGTTACAACCTATTATATATACTATTGTAGTCTAGATATTTAATCACCACATTAATGTTTTAAATAAGATACTCAATATAAACTTATTAGGCATAATTAACTATTTGCTGTGTACTTTAAGTTTATATCTTTTACAATAGTTAGAGTAGGTGTGTTACTTGGATTTGGGCTAATAAAATTTATGTTGCTTTAGTGGTTACATGATGTTATGAGACTGATAATTTCTCTAAATTTTAGTTAAAATCTCCACACTAAAACTAATTTTTTGATTAAGTGAAAATATTGTGTATAAAAATAATTACATAATTATGCAATGTGGCATTAAAGGTAGCATTTTCATTTGGGTGGTTAGTTATATTACTCAATTTTAGTAACCTCTAAATTAGTTAATTTAAATATCACAATTATTTAAAATTATATAAAAATATTTATGTCCTTTTTAGTGTATTTAATAGAAAATGGAATTATTTAAAAAATATAAAAATAGAATGCATATAATTGCATATATTTATGATATGATAGTTGTATAATTAATAGTAATATTTATGTTGCTTAAAGCAATAAACAAATTTATTACTCATATTATTAGTTTTAAAGAGTTACTAAAATATATATTTAATCAATACTATAATTCTACAACAATGCAAATTAATTAAATTTCTTGCCAAATGAAAAAAGTAAATATTTAATTGTTTACTTTTCTAACTTCCACCAAAAATTATATGTGATAACTACCATTGTTAATTGCAAAAATATATTTAACCAACATTTAATATATTATCTGCAGCTCCTTGCCACAGCGTGACATAAAGTTTTTTCCTTGATGCAAAAAAATTGTTGGTAAGGCACACAATTATGTTGTAATTCCATGTTCAAATATATTATTATTAAATTAAATTTTTAATTTTTCTAAATTCAATGTCAAGGCTTATTACCTCAGTTGGTCAGAGCGTGGTCCTAATAAGGCCAAGGTCACAAGTTCAAGACCTGCATGGGCCAAATTGTTTACATGTTCAAGACCTGTATGGGTGTTTTTATGTTTTTTTACTTGGTATAACACATTGTCGTGGAAGATCAAGTTTGATCTGCCTCTCAATTGAAAAGAGATTTGCAAGCAGCGCAAACGTCCCTCCACTGTCCGGAGGATTCAAGTCAACCACAAACCTGGCAACGCGGCTGCCTTGCTCCACATCGCTGTAACTCTTGCAAGCTGCGAGCAGGCACGTCCAGTCGAAATTATCTGGAACAAATGGCATCACCGTGACGAGCTCCGTCGCTTCTCTTAGGTATCCAGCCCTTGCGAGAACATCCACAATGCAGGTGTAGTGCTGTTTGCTTGGCTCCATGCCGAAGTCTACGATCATGGACGAAAAATTGGCCATCGCCAAGTAAACCTGGCCTTTGTGGCTGCACGCGATAAGCACCGATATGAAACAAGCATCGGTGGGAATCTCCACCATTTTCATCATGTCAAAAGTTTGAAACGCATCTACTGAGTTTTTGGCTCCTGTATACGCCGTCAACATGATCGTCCAGGAGACACACACGGACTGGGCATTGTCTCTAAGAGCTTTCTTGCTCGGGCTGTTTGCCCGTTTTGAGCGTACGCATATAGCATCGTATTCCAGCAGTGGATGTCCTTGTGTGGAATCTCAAAGAACACGTAAAAGGCCTTGTGAACCTGTCCATCGAGAGAAAACGCCGCCACCATCGACGTGAGAGTGTACAGGTCTCTCTCGGGCATTGCATTAAAAAGACCCAAAGTTTCTGGCAAGTAGCTTCGTTGGGCATTTGCTGCGAGCATAGCATTCCAAGTAACCAAATCCCGAAACTCCATACATTCGAAAAGCTGTTTCGCCTCTTCAAGATGGCCATTCTGCGCAAGACCAGAAACCATAGAATTAAAAGATACCATATCGGGATATGGAATCTTCTCAAAGATGAGCTTCGCCTCCTTCATATGCTCGTTCTGGGCATAGGCCGAGAGCATCGCATTTGACGAGAATAAGTCATGGCTGGGCATACTTTCAAAAACAGCGACAGAATCTTTCAGATATCCAGCTTGTCCGTACAATGCCACCATGGCAGTGGCCGACACCATGTCCCGCTGCGGCATAGAGTCGTACAGCGCCCTAGCCCTGTCCATATGCCCATTGTGGGCATATGCCTCAATCATGGCCGTCCACGAAATGAGGTCGTGCTGTGGCATTAAACTGTAAACTCGAGTAGCCTGAGTTAAATGACCAGCTTCAGTGTATGCTCCAAGAAGGGCATTCCACGAGATAAGATCCCTCTGTAGCATTGAATCAAAAAACTTCTTTGATTCTTCTTGATGCCCGAACTGGGCATATGCCGCAACCATAGCATTGCAGGAGATCAAACACAACTCTGGAACTCGTGCAAGAAAAACTTCTGCGCGCTCCAAATTTCCGCCCTGGGCAAGTGACGATAGCATGGAATTAAAAGAGACGAGGTCCAAGAGAGGCAGCGATTCAAAGATCCGACTAGCTCGGTCAATTTGCCGGGTCTGGGCAAACCCAGTCGCAAGTGCATTCCACGAGATTAAATCTTTTTCGGGCATTTTTGAGAAAAATATTTCAGCCTCATGCATTCGAGAATTTAGTGTGTATGAGCTTAGCATTGCGTTCATAGCGACTAGATCGTGGAAGGGCATTGAGTCAAATAAAACCTTTGTCTGAAAAACATCCCCTGATTGGGCATGTGCTGCAAGAATAGTCGTCCAAGAAACCACATCCTTTCTTGGCATTGAATCGAAGAATTTCTTTGCACTATCAAGATCTCCACTATGTAAGTAAGCAGCAAGCATGGAATTGTGAGCAACAGTGTTGAGATCCGGCATGGAATCAAACACGGACTTGGCAAGATCCAGATTCCCAGAACGGGCATATGCCGAGAGCATCGAGACCCAAGAGTAGGAATCTCTGGCGGGCATGGAATCAAAGACCGCCCTGGCATGGGCGATCCCGCCGGCACATTTGCCATACATGTCCACGAGCTTGTTGCTGATGAACACGTCAGTGGCATCTCTGGGGATGCGGCTGTGGATGCCGAGAGCCCTTGTTAAGCTCCTGCACGATTCAATGGCGCGAATGGTGTCGTGGCGATTCCATTGCTCGCAACTTGCCACCACGTCCATCAACCCATTTTTTTCAGGAGTTGACTTTTAGAATTTGACTTTTAGTCCAAGGAGTTGACTTGTCTGACTGTCACAAAATCATCTTTTAGAATGTCACAAAATCATTTTAAAAGAATTTCTAGTATCATATTTTTTGTCTTTTGGATCACCGTCACACCCGAAAGTGTTTTTCTCCACCTTTTTCGATAATAATACATGATTTTGAGGCCCACCAAGTGAGAAGACTGGGTCTTGACAATAAAATATTACCTAGTGTCTAGTTTCTTGTCATGAAAACACAATGATATAGTTATATTTGATGAAGCAACACATATAGTTTTTTCATTGACTTTGATAAGCCAACAATTCTGGAATGGTTGTGTACACCTTCGAAAGATCTCGCTGCACTTTTTGTTATAGTTGGATTCCAGCTGCAGCCTTTGGCATACTTTGGTGGATGGATCCCCAAACTAACGACCCGTGTCCCGGACTATAGCCACCGATATCAATATCAGGGTTTCCAGAGAAATCCTTCGGGCAAGAGCTGCTGCTTTCATAAATATGCAAGAAAAAGCCATGTGACTTCCTGCATAAAGATCCACACAACAAACAGACACAAAACGACATATACATGTTATTTTGCTTTTTTTCACCCTTTTTTTTGAGGTGACCGCCGAATCCGAGAATAAAATTGTAAATGGAGCAACTTTTACCCATATATAGTTAGTAAACGTTAATGTATGGAACCATGTATACATTGGATCGCTCTAAATTCAGACTTGTGGAAAATAATAAGCTGCAAGGTGGTAGGGGGAATCAACATGAAAGCTCCATTCAATTTGGTTGGAAGGCCCACGACACACGTAGAGCTCCTCTCGTTGCTTGTTTCTCTGGCTTTATATATTTGTTCTCTCTTTTTCCAAAATATTATGTTCTAGCATGACATGTGGTCTTTATTCTTGCTTTCCAGGCGGACTGGACTGAATCCCAAAGGGCCCCCTGATGCACAAACCATTGCTGCTGCTACTGCCATGCTCTTGCTACACCACTACTGGGTTTAACATGGAAATATTAAATATTTAAAAGTTGGTACTTTAAATATTCGAGCAGGGCCTTCCAAATATATTAATTATTACATGTTTTTGAACTTACATGAGATCACACTACTGGAAAAGAAAGCGTTGGAACAAGTAGAAATCATGGTGGTTTTGACAAGAGTGTGCCTAGATATATTCCAAGCCATGATATTATCTGTCCGAAGTGATTGAAATTGATGAGTGACTCATGGTTGCACTTCGGAGGAGGGAGTGAAGTGAAATCCAGTGATGCCTGGTGGAGGAATCAAATTAAATTGTGTGCCAAGTGTTGAGCCGCGAGAAAAAGAAACATGGAAAGACTTAGGCTCCTGTTTATTGAGAACCTGCCTACGGTCCGAACAAATGAAATACGATGATGCCAAAGAGTGGCAGAGATCAGAGATTTTTCCTTACATCACCTTATTCCTCTGAAGGAGAATAAATGTGAAATTTCTTGCTCGTGGTTGTTCGATGATTGGCTGTCCGGCTAGCAAGTTGAAGAAAAAGAGAAAAACATTTATATATCTACTTAAAGCACTTTTCTAAGGGTTTGTTTGCTTTAGTTTTACAGTTGCAACATCTCACTCAATCCTCTCCATTGCCCGAACCTAAGATCTTAAACATTGTATTATGGCGATGATCATTGCAAAAGGTGGCGCGTTGTTTTGCACGTGTTTACGTAAAATAATCGGCGTTTTTGGTTTGGGCTTGGATTTCTTACAACTGGCCACGGACGAGAGTTCAAACACTCTAAACACCGACACATACGACACAACCTTTAACTTAGCTTAGCCATAAGTCAGCATGGCCTTTTCTCTAGCAATTCTTGGCACTGACATCAACACAGTGACAAACTAATGTATGCATTTTCAAAAGCTTTAAAGAAAAGAAAAAACCCCTCACTTCACTACTACTGCGAGGAGTTGGACAGTTCCGCGTTGTGGATTCAGTGTTATAGTGATTGTTGATATAAGAGAGTTCTTCTTCCTTGCTTCTTTCTTCAGCTAGATTCCCAGTGCATTTACTGGTGTAGAGCCTCCATTTGTTTGGTAGCAAGTTATGCTAAAATAACAATTCCACAAAGCTCTGGGCCTTGCGTATATAGGGAGTGCTTCTAAAGTTCTCCACAAGAAAAGAGTGTGTGACAAGGAGAGGAGAGAGGCAAAGAGGGAAAGAGAGAGAGCATTCTTGCTCATATTTTCTCTATCCATTTAAAAGATTCCTTGAGAACTTGCTCATCTTCTTCTCCAATTCTCCCTTTTTGTTTGTTTTTTTTTTGTCAATCAAGGCAGGCACATACTTCACTTATACTTTTCTTGGCAAATCCAGCTGCATTCTTCGCTGCCGGGAATTTCCTTGAAGCTGGTGACACAGGGATGGTGTCAATCACACCCAGCAATTCATCGATTCCAGACTTCCAGAGAATGAGTCATAATTTGCCTGCATTTTCCCAGGGAATCTCCCTCAAGCTCCCAATGCTCCTCCTTGCCGCGCCAATGCTCGTTTTCCTCGCCTCTTTGCTCGTGATCCTGGTGTGGAGCGCGTCCGTGGCCTTCAGATATGTCCACCTGAGAAAGAGTCTCCTCGAGCAAGGCCTGGATGGCCCCCCTCCAAAGTTCCTGATTGGAAACATGCACCAAGTATCCGAGATGAGAGAACTGGCAACATCCAAGGACATGCGAGTTGGCGACCATGATCTTCTTCCCAGGATATGCCCCCACTTTACATACTGGTCCGCCATCTACGGTATATAGCTCGAATTTCCCTCCCCCATATCCACACTTCTAGCACACATTCCTCTGTTTCTCTGCCAAGCTTCTCCAAAGACTTGTAAACTAACTAATGTGTGTGTGTGACAGGGAAGAGGTTTCTCTTCTGGTGGGGAATGGAGCCGAGGATCACGGTTGTGGAGCCCGAGATGATCAAGGAGATCTTGTCCACCAAGGCCGAGCACTTTGGAAAGTCGCTGCTACTCAAAAAGGGTGGTGTGCTGCTGCTTGGGAATGGAATGGTGTATGCCAATGGAGAGAGCTGGGCTCACCGGAGACGCATCGTTGGCCCGGCGTTCCATGCCGAAATGCTCAAGGTAAGATCTCTCTTTCCCTCCCAAAGACATATACTTCTTTGGATTTGAAGAAGTTAATTCTTCTTTGAGCAAGCTCTTACTTTCTATCTTTCTATATGATATGAATTCATGAGGCATAATTATTGGCAGAAAATGGTACCCGAGATGGTGGCGAGCACGTCTCAAATGCTGGGCCAGTGGAGCCAAATCATTGACAACAAGAGCTCGAGGAGGAGCGGCGATGGATCATCCGCGGAGATCGACATCAACTATTACTTATCCATGGCCACGGCCGATGTAATTGCTCGTACCGCGTTTAGCAGCACCAGCAGTCACGAAAAAGGCAAGAGGGTGTTCCAGCTCCTGACGTGCCTCCAGAAAGTTTTCGCTCAGTCCAATCGTTTTCTCTGGCTTCCATGCAACAGGTATGATATCACAAAAATCCTCTCTCGCACTCAAGGTTCCTTCACTCCCTCTATTTTGTGTCTCCATCGCCATCAACCTTTGCGTGGAACAAAGCATGCATGATTTCCAATGATTCCTCCATTTATATACCTTGTATATCAAAGTCCTGCCTGCCTCCATTAGCTTCTGGTTCTTCCACCACCTTATTCTATTGTTATATTTCTTTATAATGCATGCAACAGCCAGTACTAAAGTAAAGATCATTTAGGATGCTCCCCACGGCTGCCAATAGAAGAGCTTCCCGGATCAAAAGGGACATGGAGCGAGCGCTGCGAGAGCTTGTACTGGAGCGCCGTGCGGGACGACAAAAGCACGGGTATGGAAGCGACTTTTTGGGACTGATGCTGTCCGAGAGCGAGCGAGACAAGTCCGAAGCAGCAGCAGCTGCACAGCAGTTTGACACGCCGGAGCTTGTGGAGGAGTGCAAAACCATCTTCTTCACGGGGCACGAGACCACATCGGCGCTGCTCACCTGGACTCTGATGCTTCTGGCCTTGAATCCAGAGTGGCAGCAGCGCGGCCGTGCCGAAGTGATGGAGCATCTCCCGTCCAAGTCCTCCGTTCCGGATGCCGATGTCCTTCCCAAGCTAAAGATTGTAAGTTGTTTTACAGTATACTTTGCACGCCAACTAGTCCACCTCCTGTCCTAGGCCAAAGTCATAACTCCACGTAGCTGCTTTTGAGTGTCTTGGAAGAAATTCTCTCTCTTTCTCTCTGTGTGTACACTAATCTTTCGCCACCTTTTTCTTTTCTTTCTTGCAGCTGGGAATGATTCTCAACGAGGTACTCCGTTTATATCCTCCGGCGCCGGCACTGGTGAGGGAATCTTTGGTGGACTTGAGCATCCAGGACGTGAAATATCCGCGGGGGACTACGTTTTGGATACCCATTGTGGCACTCCACCACAGCAAAGACGTGTGGGGGGACGACGCCCTCCACTTTAACCCGGCCCGATTCGCCGATGGAGTGGCGGCGGCTTGCAAGCTTCAGCACCAAAAGCTGTGGAGTTTCATGCCATTTTCGCTGGGGCCGCGAGCTTGCCTCGGGCAGAGCTTTGCAATGATGGAGGCCAAAGTGGTCCTGGCAATGATCCTCCAGAGATTCGAGTTCAAGATCTCTCCCAATTACAGGCACGCTCCGGTCACTGCCATCACGCTCAAGCCCAGGTATGGAATGCAGCTTATGCTTGCGCACTACAACATAGAGGACGGAGAAAAATCGCCAGGATGATCATCTATCTTATGATCCAAACACGAGGTTGCCACCACAGCCACTGTACACTGACAATTTTTGTAGAGCTCATACATATAACTATGACATTCTAAAGCAAAGTGCCCAGCCTTCTGAGTTGAGAACTTTTTTATTCTCGAGAATGCCCGGATGGATAGCTGGCTTTGTCTGTCCGCGACTTTAGGTCCCCAGCACGAATGTGTGCTTCCAGAAGTGCTTTCCCATACAAATTTCGTGGTCCATTTTTTTTAAGAAAAGGAGTTACGAAAAAGGAGGTCACAGAATTCGTACGAATCCAATCCCGTGGAGATTCTACAATCCAACAATGGGATTTCTCCATGATTCCAGCCGCTTTCTCCTTCTCCTCGTATCAATCTATCTTGTTCGATCGTCATTATCATCATCACATCGGGTACGCAACCTTCACATTTCTTTTGCTTTCACAAAAGCCCTTTTTCTTTTCTAGATCAAGATGACGAAGCAGCTCTTGTTGGTCGGTGGCTACAGCGATGAAATCCACCTCTTAGCGCTGGACAAGCACCATCTCTACTCCATCGCCTCGTTTCCATCAGGTACCAATCCCACCTTTCTGGCCACGCTGGGCAACGTTCTCTATGCCGTAAACGAAGTGGAGAGTGGCGCTCTCGAGGCATTCTCCTTCTCTCCACACCACACCTCTCTCACTCGTCTCGGCCACCCCGCCTCCACTTGCGGCGCGGACCCGGCTGCCATTAGCATCCACTCCAGCGGCAAGTGGATCTTGTTCGCGAACTACAACGGTGGCAGCTATGGCGTTCTCCAAGTCGACCATAGTCGCCACCACGGTGTGCTCTTGGATCATCACCAGCAACCGGTTTCGCTGATCAAGGTTCCAGGCCTGACGGAGCCGAGCAACAATCCCCGGCAAGAGGCTCCTCATCCCCACCAGATCATCACGGACTCCTCGGGAAAGTTTGTCTTCGTTTGTGATCTCGGCACTGATAAGATCCACACCCGAGTCCTCAACGTCTCGACTGGGAAGCTCGACGAGGCCGCTGCTCCGGAGGTTTCACTCGAGCCTGGGTCGGGTCCTCGGCATTTTATCTTCTCCCGCGACGAGCGATTCGCGTACGTGATCAACGAGCTCGCAAACAGCGTGAGCCAGCTCTCGTATGATCCGGGGAATGGAGCACTGCGTTTGATCCAGAGCTGGTCCACTCTGGATGATAGCGTAGCGAACAAGAGCGCGTGCACGGCGGCGGAGGTGGCTCTCTCGCCGGACGGGAGGTATTTGTATGCGTCCAACCGTGGTAACGCCGAGGATACCATCGCGGTGTTTGGAGTGGACGCTGAAGGTGACGGTGGCCTGACCTTCCTTGGGCTGGATCGAGTCGGGGGTTCTGGGCCTCGGCATTTTGCGTTTGATCGGTCCGGGGAGATGGTCGTGGTTGGGCTCCAAAACTCGAACAAGGTGAACGTTCTTTCCAGGAATGTAGAAACGGGGAGGCTGAGCGTGGTTTTTAGCTTGGATGGCGTACAAGCTCCTTCTTTCATCCAGTTCATGTAACCTTAGAATGTATTTTCTCCATCTATGAGAGTATAGAACTTGCAAGGATAATCTTGTGTTTGACGGTATTCATGTTTCTCTTCTGATTTCATGCTGTTCTTTCATAGCTTGGATCATTGATTGAAACTTGCAAGCTACAAACTTGGAAAGAAAATACAAAACTTGCAATGGTCGTAGGAAATCCTCAGGATTTGTTTGCGTGTAACATGTTGGCCAGTAGTAAATAACCAGCTGATTCTTGTGAGTTCATGCCAACCACGGATTTTGCAACACAGAATCCCTGCTTGACATTGTCCTGAGATTTGGAAGCTCCAAGCAGGGACGTCCAATCCACAGCATCAGGCACAAACGGCATGGTTTCCAAGAGAAGCTCGGCAACTTCCAGATGCCCTGCCTTGGCAATGAGGTCCACCATGCACGCGTAATGTTGCTTGGTAGGCTTTAACGCGAAGTCCCCTTGCAACGACACGAAGCAATTTCTTGCGGCGTCGAGCCCACCAACATGTCCCAGGGAAATCAAAATGGGTGCAAAGCAGGATTCACCAGCTGCTTCAATGAAATTCATGGTTTGGAAAAGGTGGCGGGCTTCAAAAGAGTGCCCCGTGTAGGCATACGCAGCCAGCATGGCGCTCCAGACGGTGAGATCTCTCTCTAGCATCAAATCGAACACTTTATTGGCTTCTAAAACATGCCCATTCACGGCATATGCGATGAGCATGACGGTCCGAGATACTACGTCATGCTCCGGCATGGAAATGAAAACACGTTTTGCGTCGTTAAGATGACCAACTTGGGCATACGAAATGAGCATATTAGTACAAGAAACAAGGTCTCGTTGTGGCATGGAGTCAAACAAAAATCGAGCTTCTTCAAGGTACCCTTTTGAGGCATACGCCGCTAGCATTGCGTTTTGTGAAACTAAATCCTTGCATGGCAAAGATTCATAGACCACCCTAGCATCGACTATGGCACCATACGTAGAGAGAAATGTAAGCATAACCGTACATGATACTGTATCCTGCATTGGCATTGTGTCGTATGTACGTTTGGCTCGCTCAATATGCCCGTCTTGGATATATGCGTTTAAAAGTGATGTCCAGGAAAGCATATCCCACTGTGGCATGGTATCAAATAAGGCTTTGGAATCTTTCCCAGTACTGTGCTGGGAAAATGCCGAGAGCATTACGTTATATGCCACTATATCTCTGTGTGGCATCGCATCAAAGAGGGCCTTACACTCAAAAAGATGCCCAATGCGGGCATATGCTGTTAAGACGATAGTCCAAGAGACAAAATTGGCCTCCGGAAGAGCGTTGAAAAATCTTCGCAATTCCAAAACGTAGTCCTCTTGGTCAAACCCAGTCAACATTGCGTTGAAAGAAGCCACGTCCCATTGGGGCATCTTGCCAAACAAAAGCTTCGCAATGCTAGTGTCTCCCTTCGCGGCATACGCAGACACCATCGCGTTCCACGAGACTATAGTTTTTTCGGGCATACAATCGAAAAATCTCTGCGCGGCTGCCAGGTCTCCGTGCTGGATGTGCGCGGACAGCATCGAATTCCACGATACCACATCCCACTGCGGCATCCCGTCGAAGATCCGGCGCGCCCCGCGAAAATCCCCGCTCTGCGAGAGCGCCGACAGCAAAATGTTGAAGGAAAACACGCTGGGCTGCGGGATTTGATCGAAAATCCGCCATGCCTCGTCGATCGACCCGCCCTGGGTGTAGGCCAGCAGCATGTAGTCCCAGCTCAGACGATCCTTCACGGGAATTAGATCGAAAATCTCCCGAGCCTTGGCGGCATTTCCCAATCGCCCGTGCATCCTGATCAAATCGTTCGCATTATGGACGCCTAGAGGAAGAAGAAGCATCAAACTGGCATATTCTTCAAAGAATCTACAAAGTACATGCTTTAAGTACTTGGACCGCCACCGTGGCAACCAGGCGCAACTCGTTTTCACCAGCCAGTGACAGCTAATTGACGGGAAAAATGCGCTATTATAGTTTGTAGATCTTCTAGTTCTTTCAGCCATGTGGAAAACTCATAATCTACGCTTGTAAGTAAATTCGGAAAGATAGGCTCATTTACTTGTCAATAAACTGAAGAACAAAAGGAAAAAATTAAAAATTAAAAATCCTGCCCTGAAAAGGAGGTGGAGGAGAAAACTGGATCAACTCTCAAGCAAAAGGAAGAGTAATAAAATTAGAGATGGAGGAACCAACCAGCACGAGAACTTCAAAGGGTGCCCTGCCAATTAGGACTCAGGAATCTGTGATCCAAAAGTGAGAAAATTCTTTCTCGCTATCTGAAATGCTAACAGCGTTGACAAGTTTCCTGTAGAAAGAAAAGAATGGAGTTTCTACGTACCTCCCGCCGCGTGAAGAAATCGCTCCCAGGTTTGGTGAGGGAAGTCGCCGTGTGTGGCGTAAGCACTCACTTTCGTGGCTCCATTCGCTTGTAGTACATTCTGAAAGACACTGGCTAAGAAACGATGAAGAAATCTTACTACACGAACCTGGCATTCCTTGAGAGTGCCTCCAGAGCGCACTAGATCGTCCACAATGACGACGTGCCTTCCAGCGGCCTCGCCTTCCTTCAAGCGAACAATCCTTTTGTTTCCATCTCGAACTAATCTCCTCGACATATTGCAACGAGTACGAGGATGTGGCACGGAGTGGTCGCTGCCGAGACAGTTTCCATCGAGCTCAAATGGATGTAAGTGGGTTTGAGCAATCGATCTCTTTTTTCTTTCACCACATTCGAGGATGGATTTCCAAACTTGTTCGTGCTGGGATCCGTGGCCAGCACGTTGCATTCCTTGCGCCTTTCAGCTCTCCCGCCGTGATCTTTGAGAGCTCTTGGTGATCTACGCTCTTCCCAGGATGTCCATCGCTTCCTTCACGGTCGTGGTGCCGTTCTTCCCGACTGGAACGTTGGAGCGCATGGAAGACGAGGGTGACATCGGCCTTCACTCTCCAACATTCCAATCTCCAGGGGTAGTCCGACGAGTCTCGTCATCTTTGACATCCACGCTCTCCAGGTTTGCTTGTTTCTCTTTTCTTTTCGATCTTTTCGCTCACCCGGACTTGCAAAGCAGGAGAGGGTTTACTTTGGTGACAGCATTCTTCCCTGCTTCGACAGTGGCATCCCGCTGCTCAAGCTTCCGGATTCCAAAAATGTGAGACTCAGTCGAGAGCTTGCAAGCGATGTCCCAAAAATCTCTTGCAGGTGACTATAGCTTTCCCCGACGAGGGAGCTTGGAAGCGCTTCCACAAGCAATTCGAGCACTTCCCCACAGTTAAGTCCGTGACTTCTTCTCTCTAACTGTATTTCGCTGGTGGATCATACGTTACACGCCAGCTGCGCCGCTGGGGCTCGAATCTCTCTAGCCTGCGAATCAGAGATCTAACTGTTCATTGTGTGAAGAAGAAGCATCACACTGGCATATTCGTTCGACCGGCATCTTAAATTTACATAGCTGAACTGGCCACGTGGAAAAAAAACAAAGCATTGAAAATAGTGCTAGACGAAACCCTTGGCTAACAACAAGTCAAGTTCATCAAAATAGTCTAGATATGTGAGTCTTACAGGAGTCTGACAGGAGCGCTTGGTTAGGATAAGGCCGACAAGGTCGGCTATCTAGAATGGCCGACATCGTTTTGGTTACCGTTCAAGGCGGTGGTCACTTCAACACAGGTATGCTCTTTGCAAAGAAGCTCGCTTCTCAGGGCTGCCGTGTTACGGTGCTACTGCCGTGGCTGAACCCATCTGGAATGACCACGGACATAGCAAACATTGAAATGCGCGCTCTCATGGAGTCCACTCCTTCCCCTCGACCGGCTTTCATTTTCCCTGGAGTTCGCAAGTCTCGTCCCGACCTTGTGCCATCATCCCGTTTTCCCACTGCCCTGCCTGACTCGCTCCGGAAACACCTCGATGTGCTGCGCCCCAAAGCGGTGGTTCTCGATCGAATGGTGATGTTCTGGGCAAGTCAAACTGTGGAGGAGAGAGGCATCCCAAAGTATATCCTCTACACAGGTGCTTCGGCGCATCTCGCTGTCATGCTCTCCTTCCACGGCCCCAGCCGAAGCGGGAATGTGGACCAAGACATGCAGAGCGTAGTTCATGTTCCCGGACTTCCACCTCTTCGATGGGCTGAGCTACCTTTGGACGTTGTCGTCAAATCCCATGGGTATCATTCTTTCTATGTTTCTGTTTGTTTCCGTGATCTTTGTTTACAGAATCTACTTGGGTAAAGAAGGCGTAGCCAAGCATTTTGTCCACTCCAACGGGATACTACTGAATACTTCCGAAGAGCTTGAAGGACCAGTAAGACGGGCATTTAGTGGGGGGTGATTTCTCACGTGTCCGTGCAGATATTGGATGCTTTACATTGCGAGTACCCCGAGATACGGTGCATTTCCATAGGACCTCTGTATCCATCTTCCTACCTCCAGGATGATCGACCCTCTGAAGAAGACATTCGAGGAACAGCGGTCTCAATCGGCAAGAACAGCGAGGATTCCACTGCGCTTGTCTCATGGCTGGACAAGCAACCCACGGCGTCGCTGGTCTTCATATGCTTCGGCAGCTTTATAGTCTTGGGCGACGAGATGATTCGAGAGCTGGCACACGGACTCGAATCGTCCGGCTTTAGATTCCTCTGGTCGCTTCCAAGTCCCAGGAACGAGGAGCCGGCCGCCTACCTGAACCGCGTGCTACCTCCAAACTTTGTGGAGCGAACCTCCGGTAGGGGGAAAATCCTCACAGGTTGGGTGCCTCAGCAGCTGGTTCTCTCTCATCCGGCCATTGGTGCATTAGTTTCACACTGCGGGTGGAGTTCCGTGGTGGAGTGTATTATGCTGGCTGGTGTTCCCATTCTGGCCTGGCCGTTCTTAGGTGACCAGCTCCCAACCTGCAGGCACCTTGTGGACGAGTACAAAATTGCGGTGGATATTGGGGTGGATGGTGTGCCGTCCGCAGATGACGTCGAGCGAGGCTTGCGTGCTGTAATGGAGGACCAAGAGCTCAGGAACCGTGCCAAGCAAAGGAGGAAGCTGGTCCGACAGGCTGCACTCTCCACCCAGCCGGGCAGCTCAGGGCATAACTTGGCAGACTTCATCAGCTCGTTGGCTGGGTAATAGCGTCTCCTCCACATCTGTCAGGACTCCGGAGAAAAAGATGGCAGCGTCTTGCGGATATCGACCCAGAAGGACATAGTAGTAAGAAGAGATTACTGAACTCTATGTGGTTTGAGGTGGTGGTGTTTGTAAATCCGATAAAAGCGCGATGGAGCACTGTTGTTCACGCGATCGGAGCTGCTACGCAGGACAAGCACTGCATCTTTGCAGAAAGGATTCCTTCCCATGCTGGGCAGTTTAGGAACCAAGAAAGAAGTCACAGCTTTTGCTTTTCTTTGATGCATTCGCTGTAATGGTCTCGTTCCACCCGGAGAGAGACTGCAACGTGAGTTTGCGTGATCATCTTCGGGTTGCCAGAAGTTGCCTTGGCGTAGGCTACGGACCCAAAAGCTTAGACGTGACAAAGACTTTTCTGGCTTGCTGCTTCACTGACGAACTGGAACATCCCGTGACAAAGATTTGGATGGCAATCTAGGAAGAAAACTGGCAAAAAGGTTATTCTTGTTGATATTCCTGCATCAGATCCTTGCAAGCTGAAAAGAAAAATTAGCAGAAGAGAGGAAATTGAAAAGGTGATGATGCTTGAAATATATTCCTAGCAAATGCCCTGCATTGACAAGGGCAAATTTGTGGAATGCCAGCGTTTCGTCCAATCGCTCCGCGCGGCTGGGGATTCCGGCGACGCCGCGGTGGGCAGGAAGATCCACGCACAGATCATCGCCAGTGGCTATGGCGGCGATCGATTCGTGGCCAATGCGGTGGTCCAGATGTATGGCCGCCTCGGGCTCGCCGAGGAATCGCGCCGGGCATTCCACGCGATCCAGCACAAGAACGAGTTCTCCTGGGGCATCGCCATCGCGGCGTCCGCCGCCAGCGGCCGGATCGACGAGGTGGAGCTCCTCTTCACCAGGACCCCGCAGCGCAGCGCCGTCCACTGGACGACGATGATCGTCGCCTACGCGCGCAATGGCGATCTGGAGAGGGCCAAATCCCTGTTCGAATCCATCGGCGACGGGGATGTGGTGCTCTCCAACGCGATGGTCGCGATATATGCCAGGAATGGGTACCTCGATCGCGCCAGGGCGATGTTCCTGGCGATGGCGCAGCGGAATCTTGCGTCCTGGAACACAATGGTGACAACACTTGCCAAAAAGGGGCATTTGGATCTTGCGAAGAAGTTCTTCGAGAGAATGCCCGCGAGGAGCCGGTTGTCGTGGAATTCCATGGTCGCGACCACTGCCGAGAGTGGAGATCTCTTTCACGCCAAGGAATTGTTTGATACGATGCCGGAGAGAGATCTCGTCTCGTGGACGGCGATGATCCAGGGGTATGCCCAGAACGGGCGTCTTGTGGAAGCAAAGGATCTGTTTGATCGAATGGGAACCAGGAATATCGTTTCGTGGAATGCCCTTATCACTGCTTATGGAGTGGCCCTGATGATCGACAAGGCGAAAGAGATCTTTCAGAAGGTGACGCACCGCGACGTTGTCTCGTGGACGGCCATGGCGACGGCATTTGCCCAGAACGGGAATCTGGACGATGCTCGGCGGTGCTTCGAATCGATGCCCGTGAAGGATGTAGTGGCGTGGAACATCCTTTGTCGGAGCTACGTCGCGCACGGCGAGATCGACCAGGCGAAGCTCGAGTTTGATCGGATCCCAGAGAAGAACCTCGTCTCCTGGAATGCGATGATCCACGCCTACACGCAGAGCCGCGCGCAAAGGTAGCGCTGGATCGAATGCCGTGGTGTAACGTGATCTCCTGGACGACCATGATGGTGGCCTACTCGCAGAACTTCCAGCTCGCTGAGGCGGAGGCGATGTTCTTCTCGATGCCCGAGCGGAGCCTCATCTCTTGGAACGCGATGTTCGTCGCGTACGCGCAGCACGGGCATCTCGTAAAGGAGAAGGCTATCTTCGACGCCACCCCGGAGAAGACCGACATCGTCTCCTGGAACGCGCTCATCGTCATGTACGCCGCGAACGGCCACGGCCCCGAGGCCGAGGAGTTCTTCCGGGGGCTCAACTTGGAGGGCGTCACCCCGGACGACATCACCTTCACGGGGATCTTGGTGGCGGCTACGCACACCGGATCGGTGAGGCGGGGCGTGGAGAAGGTCCAGATGATGGTGGCGGACTTTGGGATCTGGCCGAGCTGTGAGCACTTTGGAGTGATGCTCGACACGCTGGGGCAGTCCGGGGAGGTGGCCGGGGAGGATTGGAGATGGAAGACGATGATTCGGCTTGTGTTTATCAATGGCGCCGGTTTGCTTCCACTATTCTTCAAAAGATGATTGACGTTCCTTGACCGTTGACCGCCGTGACTGGTTAGACCTTTATTGCACTGGTCAACTTTAGCTTTCTCCTTTATCTTGGCGCAATTAGCCCTTATTGATGCAAAGACGGTATCTTTTTTACCTTCAATGACCACTGTAATTATCACAGCCAGTGGCGCAATTAGCCAACAGAACTTAGTGACACCAAAATCTTCAAAGACAATTACCTAATCACTCCCTTTCACTGCTCTCTTTCACCGGCATCGTTTTAAGTTTATGCCATGTAATGACCAGTGTGATTATCACAGCCAGCACCGTAAGAACAGAAATAACGTAGAAGCTGGCCCACAAGGGTTTCACCTCGTACGTAGCTGTGGTGGTGAGCAACACCACGGTACCATCACTAAGGACCTGAGGTACTGTTTGCGCTTGCAAGATGTCCCGGTCCTTCTTTACACTTTGCACGCTACTATATGCTGTATATGACAGTAAAACTGCACAAAATGTGAGCTTAGTGAATCAACTTGTGGCAAGAAGAGGTTCAAATTACCTGCAAAACCGAGTACGAGGAGTGTCCTATAAAGGAACTTAAACCAAAAGATGGGGTCCTGGCTTGAAAAAACTGATCCCTTGCTCGACTGAACAGCCTGGCCGTCGGTGTTGGTGTCCCCAACGGCGCCACCACGGTGCCAGAATTTCTCAAAGGACTCTTCAATATCCTGCAACTTGGTACTCGTTGCCAATAAACATGTTCCCACAAAGGACACAATCGCTGACAAAATCCCGCCATAGACTTCGTGTCTGTTGTTTGATCCATCATTCCACAGCTTGTTCTGCTTGAACTTAACATCTCTGAGCTGTAACATGGATTCGACCATCAGTTTAATCTCTGTGCTGATAGCAGTGTCCAGCTTGGTCACACATAGCTTGTCCTTGAACTCGAGCTGTCCCATAGGCAGATCTCCGAAACAGGGTGCACTGATCTTGTTCTGGGGGGGAGTGGGAGCCCAGAGGAACCGTCTCATCTTGTTGAGATAGTACTCACTATCTTGAGTGCTTAATACCAGCTGATCAGTACTGCACCTGTTCTGAACCTCCACACTGGATGGCACCGGTATTTGCTGCATCAATGCTTCCACACAGACTGTTGTGTTCGCCATGGCCTGGAAGTCATTCGCTGTAACCCCAGTGAGGGAGGACCCGAGAGAGGTATTCCCCTTAAAGGTTGCAAGAAATGGTAGAGGCTTGTCAGATGAGGTGTTGTGTACGGTAAGAACAAGCCAAGTGTTTCCACCGGTGTTCCAAGCCCAGTAAGACGTCAGCAAATCGCAGGAGGAACGATAGTCGAACAATCCCCAGCTGTTGGTGTCCATGTTCCTGGTGACCACGACACATACCCTGGTGGAGGAATTAGAGCAGCCGCATTGGAGGCTGGGAAACCCGAGGTATGCTGTGGCGTCGTTGCTGTAGTAAGACGGTGCAAACCGACACTTTGGTACATCCTTAGTGTTCGTAAGATAATAGTGGCTGGAGGTGTTGAGCTTCTGGTACTTGGTGAAGTCCGTCCTTGCACTGCTGGCGTAGTTGGAAAGGTAGAATCCTGATGTGCTACGCGGCATGTTGTTCAGATCTGGTTCAATGCTGGGTGCAGTTGCAGCCCTGTAAGGTACAGCAATAAAGAGCAGGCTGAGATCCGCTTCGCTTTCCTTCTGAAGGATGGGAGTAGTCCAGAGGCACGACCGATTGCTCTGGTCATTACCAGTGGATAGGCACATGCGGATGCTGATGCCCCAGTCCACTCGCATTCTCCATTGCCAGTTGTGCCGGTGCTGCTTCATGTGACCACCTGCAACGTGGGGCTCGGCCGAGGCATACAGCTTGTTGGCTCCCTCATCACTCGTCCAGTTGCTGATCACTCTCCATGCACTAGCTTGCTGGTAGGCGGAATTGGCGAGTTCAATGTCGATGCCACTTGTCGTGGACAGGACACTGGCAAGGGAAGAACGCAGAGACCATCTGTAGAACGGATCGAATTCGTTTACAAAGCTGTTTACTTCGGGGCATGCAAAACCTTCTCTGGACGGGAGGTCGAGGTAGAAATGCTCATCGTCGGATCCATGACAAGAATGCGCGAGAAGCAGGAGTAGTGTTGCTGTGGGCAGAAGCAGCGAGAAGAGAATACTTGTCAGAGAGGGGTGAAGCCAATTGCAGAAGCTACTACTGCCTACATTCTCTGCCTGAGCCATTATAGCTTATAATCCTATGATTCACAACTGCAGCCATATATAAGGATATGAGGACATTCGTTTTACGTGCTTTTTTGTTTTCATACTACAAGTTGAAGGCGAAAGTGTTGTGGATGCTTCCTATTCCTTTAAAGATCCAATGCTTCCTTGTCTACAAACGAGCTTAAGAGCACGGATCTTCCATAAACCTCTTTCTTTATGAATGTTCACATGGCATCATAGAAAGAAAAGAATTCTTCCCAAAGTCTCCTCTGATATTCAGGAGAATTTGTCAATGGCTGGTGATGTTAACCTGTATGCAAGCATTACTTATATTAAGAACATTGGACGCACGAAGTGACAAATTATATGCATACACGAGTTGACAAGTTTCGGTTATCATTATTAATCTTCTTTGTCAACCAACGCTAGCTGAGGCTGGGTAAGACCTTGAGTATAATGCACGAGATTTGGACCGAGGATGAAAAAGATGCCGCCTTGGTAACAATTAGTCAATGTATGAGGCAACTATTTTTCCGCGAACTTTAACACGATCTAAAGATCTGAGCACGCACAACAGGTTTGCTGAACGCATGCCTACAGCTAAAACCCAGCGAATCTTTTTTGCAGCTTCCAACATTAGTGAAAATTTATTAGAGATAAGTTTTTATCTGTTCGCAATAACTTACTAGAACGCATGCTTGAACTGCATGATGCGAATCAGTAACAGCATCTGGATGAAAGAGAAGACAATGCGAGTTTGGAAATCAAATCAATCAAAACCAGACATACAATTTGTACGGTACAATTAATTATATAACTAGCGAGCATATGGCGTTGACCATCCATAATCTGGTCAACCATATTACTTTGACCCAGAAGATTCCTTTACGCCCACCGAAAAACTGGACAGAGCGTTTGCAGCCTTATCAACGTGGGTCGGCCAAAGAGGAAAAGCAATGCTCTTGCCAGATTGAACGGACGCACTCGTAGCCACGAGGTAGAGCGACGCCTGGCGTGGTATACAGCGAAACAAGGAAAGAGTGAATCTTTCGGGAAGTGCAGCTAAAAGCTTTCCAGCGATGGAAAAGCTCGTATAGCTTTTGCTCGATGACGCACAGGTCCGCTGCATTAAATCTGAAAGAGCGAATGAGTGGGTGCTGGCGAATAAGTTCAAAGAAAAACTAAAGAACCTGGATCGAATGTGAAGCTTTCAAAGAAAGGCTATAAACCCCGCAGTATCTGCAAGTTCATGGCTCTTCTCTTCTCTGCGTTATTAAAAACCGAACCGAACAAGAGCACAAAAGCCTGCTGTGCTGTTGTGCTGCTGTGCTGCCGCGGCACGAACGAGACAGACAGGCCAAGAGATTGATTAGCGCTAATTGCGGATATCGGGAATCATAATTACCTTGAGCGATGGCGGGTGATCAAGTTTTCCTGGACGAAAGCCGCGGCGAGAGGCTGCTCCCTGTCTGGTGCATTTAAAGTTGATCTATTCCCATTCGGCGTCACCACCATTCTCATTCATGGCCGCGTTCTCAGCTTGCAGATCGTAGTCGCGGCTCATTTGGTTGTTTTTGTCTTTCGCGCTTTTGCCAGGCCGTCTATTCCCTTTTGTCAGGGACATCCAATCTACAGCATCAGGTACAAACGGCATGGTTTCCAAGAGAAGCTCGGCAACTTCCAGATGCCCTGCCTTGGCAATGAGGTCTACCATGCACGCGTAGTGTTGCTTGGTAGGCTTTAACGCGAAGTCCCCTTGCAACGACACGAAGCACGGCGTCGAGTCCACCAACATGTCCCAGGGAAATCAAAATGGGGGCAAAGCAGGATTCACCAGCTGCTTCAATGAAATTTATGGTTTGGAAAAGGTGGCGGGCTTCAAAGGAGTGGCCGGTGTAGGCATACGCAGCCAGCATAACGCTCCACACGGTGAGATCTCTCTCTAGCATCAAATCGAACACTTTCTTGGCTTCTAAAACATGCCCATTCACGGCATATGCGATGAGCATGACGGTCCGAGATACTACGTCATGCTCCGGCATGGAAATGAAAACAAGTTTTGCGTCGTTAAGATGACCGACTTGGGCATACGAAATGAGCATGTTAGTACAAGAAACAAGGTCTTGTGGCATGGAGTCAAACAAAAATCGAGCTTTTTCAAGGTACCCTTTTGAGGCATACGCCGATAGCATTGCGTTTTGTGAAACTAAATCCTTGCATGGCAAAGATTCATAGGCCACCCTAGCATCGACTATGGCACCATACGTAGAGAGAAACGTGAGCATAACAGTACATGATACTGTATCCTGCATTGGCATTGTGTCGTATGTACGTTTGGCTCGATCAATATGCCCTTCTTGGATATATGCGTTTAAAAGTGATGTCCAGGAAAGCATATCCCACTGTGGCATGGTATCAAATAAGGCTTTGGAATCTTTCCCAGTACTGTGCTGGGAAAATGCCGAGAGCATTACGTTATATGCCACTATATCTCTCTGTGGCATCGCATCGAAGAGGAACTTACACTCACAAAGATGCCCAATGCGGGCATATGCTGTTAAGACGATAGTCCAAGAGACAAAATTGGCTTCCGGAAGAGCGTTGAAAAATCTTCGCAATTCCAAAACGTAGTCCTCTTGTTCAAACAGTCAACATTGCGTTGAAAGAAGCCACGTCCCATTGGGGCATCTTGCCAAACAAAAGCTTCGCAATGCTAGTGTCTCCCTGCGCGGCATACGCAGAGACCATCGCGTTCCACGAGACTATAGTTTTTTCGGGCATACAATCGAAAAGTCTCTGCGCGGCTGCCTCCGTGCTGGAACTAATCTCGAACTAATCTCCTCGACATATTGCAACGAGTACGAGGATGTGGCACGGAGGGGTCGCTGCCGAGACAGTTTCCATCGAGCTCAAATGGATGTGAGTGGGTTTGAGCAATCGATCTCTTTTTTCTTTCACCGCATTCGAGGATGGATTTCCAAACTTGTTCGTGCTGGGATCCGTGGCCAGCACGTTGCATTCCTTGCGCCGTTCAGCTCTCCCGCCGTGATCTTTGAGAGCTCTTGGTGATCTACGCTCTTCCCAGGATGTTCATCGCTTCCTTCACGGTCGTGGTGCCGTTCTTCCCGACTGGAACGTTGGAGCGCATGGAAGACGAGGGTGACATCGGCCTTCACTCTCCAACATTCCAATCTCCAGGGGTGGTCCGACGAGTCTTGACATCCACGCTCTCCAGGTTTGCTTGTTTCTCTTTTCTTTTCGATCTTTTGGCTCACCCGGACTTGCAAAGCAGGAGAGGTTTTACTTTGGTGACAGCGTTCTTCCCTGCTTCGAGTCGACAAAAGCCATTTGAAATGGCTTTTTCTTTGCCAAAAAGCCATTCCAAATGGCTTTTTGGCGGCCGAAATAAAACACTATCACGCCAGCCGCTAGAGCGGCCGCGCTCGAATCTCTCTAGCCTGCGAATCAGAGATCTAACTGTTCATTGTGTTGGCATATTCGTTCGACCGCTGAACTGGCCACGTGGAAAAAAAAACAAAGCATGAAAATAGTGCTAGACGAAACCCTTGGTTAACAACAAGTCAAGTTCATCAAAATGAGTCTTACAGGAGTCTGGAGTTGCAATAGAACAAGAGCGCTTGGTTAAGATAAGGCCGACAAGGTCGAGAATGGCCGACATCGTTTTGGTTACGGTTCAAGGCGGTGGTCACTTCAACACAGGTATGCTCTTTGCAAAGAAGCTCGCTTCTCAGGGCTGCCGTGTTACGGTGCTACTGCCGTGGCTGAACCCATCTGGAATGACCACGGACATAGCAAACATTGACATGCGCGCTCTCATGGAGTCCATTCCTTCCCCTCGACCGGCTTTCATTTTCCCTGGAGTTCGCAAGTCTCGTCCCGACCTTTTGCCATCATCCCGTTTTCCCACTGCCCTGCCTGACTCGCTCCGGAAACACCTCGATGTGCTGCGCCCCAAAGCGGTGGTTCTCGATCGAATGGTGATGTTCTGGGCAAGTCAAACTGTTGAGGAGAGAGGCATCCCAAAGTATATCCTCTACACAGGTGCTTCGGCGCATCTCGCTGTCATGCTCTCCTTCCACGGCCCCAGCCGAAGCGGGAATGTGGACCAAGACATGCAGAGCGTAGTTCATGTTCCCGGACTTCCACCTCTTCGATGGGCTGAGCTACCTTTGGACGTTGTCGTCAAATCCCATGGGTATCATTCTTTCTATGTTTCTGTTTGTTTCCGTGATCTTTGTTCACAGATTCTACTTGGGTAAAGAAGGCGTAGCCAAGCATTTTGTCCACTCCAACGGGATACTACTGAATACTTCCGAAGAGCTTGAAGGACCAGTAAGACGGGCATTTAGTGGAGGGTGATTTCTCACGTGTCCGTGCAGATATTGGATGCTTTACATTGCGAGTACCCCGAGATACGGTGCATTCCCATAGGACCTCTGTATCCATCTTCCTACCTCCAGGATGATCGACCCTCTCAAGAAGACATTCGAGGAACAGCGGTCTCAATCGGCAAGAACAGCGAGGATTCCACGGCGCTTGTCTCATGGCTGGACAAGCAACCCACGGCGTCGCTGGTCCTCATATGCTTCGGCAGCTTTATAGTCTTGGGCGACGAGATGATTCGAGAGCTGGCACACGGACTCGAATCGTCCGGCTTTAGATTCCTCTGGTCGCTTCCAAGTCCCAGGAACGAGGAGCCGACCGCCTACCTGAACCGCGTGCTACCTCCAAACTTTGCGGAGCGAACCTCCGGTAGGGGGAAAATCCTTACAGGTTGGGTGCCTCAGCAGCTGGTTCTCTCTCATCCGGCCATTGGTGCATTAGTTTCACACTGCGGGTGGAGTTCCGTGGTGGAGTGTATTCTGCTGGCTGGTGTTCCCATTCTGGCCTGGCCGTTCTTAGGTGACCAGCTCCCAACCTGCAGGCACCTTGTGGACGAGTACAAAATTGCGGTGGATATTGGGGTGGATGGTGTGCCGTCCGCAGATGACGTCGAGCGAGGCTTGCGTGCTGTAATGGAGGACCAAGAGCTCAGGAACCGTGCCAAGCAAAGGAGGAAGCTGGTCCGACAGGCTGCACTCTCCACCCAGCCGGGCAGCTCAGGGCATAACTTGGCAGAGTTCATCAGCTCGTTGGCTGGGTAATAGCGTCTCCTCCACATCTGTCAGGACTCCGGAGAAAAAGATGGCAGCGTCTTGCGGATATCGACCCAGAAGGACATAGTAGTAAGAAGAGATTACTGAACTCTATGTGGTTTGAGGTGGTGGTGTTTGTAAATCCGTGTGAAGTGTATAAGGGTGGAAGCGCGATTGTTCACGCGAGTGGATCGGAGCTGCTACGCAGGACAAGCACTGCATCTTTGCAGAAAGGATTCCTTCCCATGCTTTGGCAGTTTAGGATCCAAGGTAGAAGCCACAGCTTCTGCTTTTCTTTGATGCATTCGCTGTATTCCACCCGGAGAGAGACTGCAATGTGAGTTTGCGTGATCATCTTCGGGTTGCCAGAAGTTGTCTTGGCGTAGGCTACGGACCCAAAAGCTTAGACGTGACAAAGACTTTGCTGGCTTGTTACGAACTGGAACATCCCGTGAAAAAAACTGGAAAAGAAAACTGGCAAAAAGGTTATTCTTGTTGATATTCCAGCATCAGATCTTTGCAAGCTGAAAAGAAACATTAGCAGAAGAGAGGAAACTGAAAAGATGATGATGCTTGAAATATATTCCTAGCAAATGCCCTGCATTGACAAGGGCAAATTTGTGGAATGCCAGCGTTTCGTCCAATCGCTCCGCGCGGCTGGGGATTCCGGCGACGCCGCGGTGGGCAGGAAGATCCACGCACAGATCATCGCCAGTGGCTATGGCGCCGATCGATTCGTGGCCAATGCGGTGGTCCAGATGTATGGCCGCCTCGGGCTCGCCGAGGAATCGCGCCGGGCATTCCACGCGATCCAGCACAAGAACGAGTTCTCCTGGGGCATCGCCATCGCGGCGTCCGCCGCCAGCGGCCGGATCGACGAGGTGGAGCTCCTCTTCACCAGGACCCCGCAGCGCAGCGCCGTCCACTGGACGACGATGATCGTCGCCTACGCGCGCAATGGCGATCTGGAGAGGGCCAAATCCCTGTTCGAATCCATCGTCGACGGGGATGTGGTGCTCTCTAACGCGATGGTCGCGATATATGCCAGGAATGGGTACCTCGATCGCTCCAGGGCGATGTTCCTGGCGATGGAGCAGCGGGATCTTGCGTCCTGGAACACAATGGTGACAACACTTGCCCAAAAGGGGCATTTGGATATTGCGAACACGTTCTTCGAGAGAATGCCCGCGAGGAGCCGATTGTCGTGGAATTCCATGGTCGCGACCACTGCCGAGAGTGGAGATCTCTTTCACGCCAAGGAATTGTTTGATACGATGCCGGAGAGAGATCTCGTCTCGTGGACCGCGATGATCCAGGGGTATGCCCAGAACGGGCGTCTTGTGGAAGGAAAGGATCTGTTTGATCGAATGGGAACCAGGAATATCGTTTCGTGGAATGCCCTTATCACTGCTTATGGAGTGGCCCTGATGATCGACAAGGCGAAAGAGATCTTTCAGAAGGTGGCGCACCGCGACGTTGTCTCGTGGACGGCCATGGCGACGGCATTTGCCCAGAACGGGCATCTGGAAGATGCTCGGCGGTGCTTCGAATCGATGCCCGTGAAGGATGTAGTGGCGTGGAACATCCTGTGCCGGAGCTACGTCGCGCACGGCGAGATCGACCAGGCGAAGCTCGAGTTTGATCGGATCCCAGAGAAGAACCTCGTCTCCTGGAACGCGATGATCCACGCCTACACACAGAGCCGGCGGCTGGATCGCGCTAAGGCAGCGCTGGATCGAATGCCCTGGTGTAACGTGATCTCCTGGACGACCATGATGGTGGCCTACTCGCAGAACTTCCAGCTCGCCGAGGCGGAGGCGATGTTCTTCTCGATGCCCGAGCGGAGCCTCATCTCTTGGAACGCGATGTTCGTCGCGTACGCACAGCACGGGCATCTCGCAAAGGCGAAGGCTATCTTCGACGCCACCCCGGAGAAGACCGACATCGTCTCCTGGAACGCGCTCATCGTCATGTATGCCGCGAACGGCCACGGCCCCGAGGCCGAGGAGTTCTTCCGGGAGCTCAACTTGGAGGGCGTCACCCCGGACGACATCACCTTCACGGGGATCTTGGTGGCGGCGACGCACACCGGATCGGTGAGGCGGGGCGTGGAGAAGTTCCAGATGATGGTGGCGGACTTTGGGATCTGGCCGAGCTGCGAGCACTTTGGAGTGATGCTCGACACGCTGGGGCGGTCCGGTGAGGTGGCCGGGGCCGAGGAGCTGCTGCGCGGGATGCCGTTCGAGCCCGACCTGGTGGCGTGCAAGTCCGTGCTGGGGGCGTGTGCGGTGTACAGGGACGTGGAGTGCGCCGAGAGGGTGGGCGAGGCCGCCATGGCGCTCTTCCCAGAAGACTCGGCCACGTACGTGGTGCTGTCCAATGTGTTTGCTGCCGCGGGGTTGCCGATTGATCGCGGGGTTGCCAAGGTTTTGGGAGGACTGGAGATGGAAGACGATGATTCGGCTTGTGTTTATCAAGGGCGCCGGTTTGCTTCTGGTAAGCTGGACAGTATTCTTCAAAAGATGATTGACGTTCCTTGACCGTTGACCGCCATTGCCACCCTGCTGACTGGTCAGACCTTTATTGCACTGGTCAACTTTAGTTAGCCCTTAGTGATGCAAAGACGGTAATATTCTGATCTTTTTTACCTCCAATGACCACTGTAATTATCACAACCAGCACCGTAAGACCAGAACAGTGTTGACATCCATTGACCGTCTGGTCATAGTAGGCTTGATCGCTTTCTCCTTTATCTTGGGGCAATTAGCCGGCAGAACTTAGTGACACCAAAATCTTCAAAGACGGTTATGATTAGTGAATCATTCCATTTCACTGCTCTCTTTCGCCGGCAGTGTTTTAAGTTGACGCCATGTAACGACCAGTGTGATTATCACAGCCAGCGCCGTAAGAACAGAAATAACATAGAAGCTGGCCCACAAGGGTTTCACCTCGTACGTAGCTGTGGTGGTGAGCAACACCACGGTACCATCACTGAGGACCTGAGGTACTGTTTGCGCTTGCAAGATGTCCCGGTCCTTCTTTACACTTTGCACGCTACTATATGCTGTATATGACAGTAAAACTGCACAAAATATGAACTTAGTGAATCAACTTGTGGCAAGAAGAGGTCAAATTACCTGCAAAAGCGAGTACGAGGAGCGTCCTATAAAGGAACTTAAACCAAAAGATGGGGTCCTGGCTTGAAAAAACTGATCCCTTGCTTGACTGAGCAGCCTGGCCGTCGGTGTTGGAGTCCCCAACGGCGCCACCATGATGCCAGAATTTCTCAAAGGACTCTTCAATATCCTGCAACTTGTTACTCGTTGCCAAGAAACATGTTCCCACGAAGGACACAATCGCTGACAAAATCCCGCCATAGACTTCGTGTCTGTTGTTTGATCCATCATTCCACAGCTTCTTCTGCTTGAACTTAACGTCTCTGAGCTGTAACATGGATTCGACCATCAGTTTAATCTCTGTGCTGGTAGTAGTGTCCAGCTTTGTCACACATAGCTTGTCCTTGAACTCGAGCTGTCCCATAGGCAGATCTCCGAAACAGGGTGTACTGATCTTGTTCTGGGGGGGAGTGGGAGCCCAGAGGAACCGTCTCATCTTGTTGAGGTAGTACTCACCATCTTGAGTGCTTAATACCAGCTGATCAGTACTGCACCTGTTCTGAACCTCCACACTGGATGGCACCGGTGTTTGCTGCATCAATGCTTCCACACAGACTGTTGTGTTCGCCATGGCCTGGAAGTCATTCGCTGTAACCCAAGTGAGGGAGGACCCGAAAGAGGTATTCCCCTTAAAGGTTGCAAGAAATGGTAGAGGCTTGTCAGATGAGGTGTTGTGTACGGTAAGAACAAGCCAAGTGTTTCCACCGGTGTTCCAAGCCCAGTAAGACGTCAGCAAATCGCAGGAGGAACGATAGTCGAACAATCCCCAGCTGCTGGTGTCCATGTTCCTGGTGACCACGACACATACCCTGGTGGAGGAATTGGAGCAGCCGCATTGGAGGCTGGGAAACCCGAGGTATGCTGTGGCGTCGTTGCTGTAGTAAGATGGGGCAAACCGACACTTTGGTACATCCTTAGTGTTCGTGAGATAATAGTGGCTGGAGGTGTTGATCTTCTGGTACTTGGTGAAGTCCGTCCTTGCATTGCTGGCGTAGTTGGAAAGGTAGAATCCTGATGTGCTACGCGGCATGTTGTTCAGATCTGGTTCAATGCTGGGTGCAGTTGCAGCCCTGTAAGGTACAGCAATAAAGAGCAGGCTGAGATCCGCTTCTCTTTCCATCTGAAGGATGGGAGTAGTCCAGAGGCATGACCGATTGCTGTGGTCATTACCAGTGGATAGGCACATGCGGATGCTGATGCCCCAGTCCACTCGCATTCTCCATTGCCAGTTGCGCCGGTGCTGCTTCATGTGACCACCTGCAATGTGAGGATCGGCCGAGGCGTACAGCTTGTTGGCTCCCTCATCACTCGTCCAGTTGCTGATCACTCTCCATGCACTAGCTTGCTGGTAGGCGGAATTGGCGAGCTCAATGTCGATGCGACTTGTCGTGGAGAGGACACTGGCAAGGGAAGAACGCAGAGACCATCTGTAGAACGGATCGAATTCGTTTACAAAGCTGTTTACTTCGGGGCATGCAAAACCTTCTCTGGATGGGAGGTCGAGGTAGAAATGCTCATCGTCGGATCCATGACAAGAATGCGCGAGAAGCAGGAGTAGTGTTGCTGTGGGCAGAAGCAGCGAGAAGAGAATACCTGTCAGAGAGGGGTGAAGCCAATTGCAGAAGCTACTACTGCCTACATTCTCTGCCTGAGCCATTATAGGTTATAATCCTATGATTCAGCCGCACAACTGCAGCCATATATAAGCCATGCCCAGGACCGACGCCTCCCGTTAAACACCATCCTGATTCACTCTCTCTCCGCTTACCTGACGATGATGTGGCATCAGGCCTTCACATGCTTTTGTCCCACTTTTACTTGCTTCAGACTAGGACAAAAGCATGTGAAGTAAAGGCATCTTTTTGTTTTCATACTACAAGTTGGAGGCGAAAGTGTTGTGGATGCTTCCCATTCCCTTAAAAGACCAATGGTTCTTCTGGCAAATCCTTGTCTACAAACGAGCTTAAGAGCACGGATTTTCCAGAAGCCTTTTTCTTTGTGAACGTTCACATGGTATCACAGAAGGAAAAGAATTCTTCCCAAAGTCTCCTCTGATATTCAGGAGAATTTGTGCAAGCATTAGTTATATTAAGAACATTGGACGCACGAAGAGACCAGGCCGGGGAAGACCTTGAATATAATGCACGAGATTTGGACCGAGGATGAAAAAGATGCCGCCTTGGTAACAATTAGTCAATGTATGAGGGCGCATGCCTACAGCTAAAACCCAGCGAATCTTTTTGCAGCTTCCAACATTAGTGAAAATTTATTAGAGATAAGTTTTTATATGTTCACAATAACTTACTAGAACGCCTGCTAGAAGTGCATGATGCGAATCAGTAACAGCATCTGGATGAAAGAGAAGACAATGCGAGTTTGGAAATCAAATCAATCAAAACCAAGCTGGGAGACATACAATTTGTACGGTGCAATTAATTAGATAACTAGCGAGCATATGGCGTTGACCATCCACAATCTGGTCAACCATATTACTTTGACCGGCCATGACCAGAAGATTCCTTTACGGCCACCGAAAAACTGGACAGAGCGTTTGCAGCCTTATCAACGTGGGTCGGCCAAAGAGGAAAAGCAATGCTCTTGCCAGATTGAACGGACGCACTCGTAGCCACGAGGTAGAGCGACGCCTGGCGTGGTACACAGCGAAACAAGGAAAGAGTGAATCTTTCGGGAAGTGCAGCTAAAAGCTTTCCAGCGATGGAAAAGCTCGTATAGCTTTTGCGCGATGACGCACAGGTTCGCTGCATTAAATCTGAAAGAGCGAGACGAATGAGTGGCTGCTGGCAAATAAGCTAAAAGAAAAATTAAAGAACCTGGATCGAATGTGAAGCTTTCAAAGAAAGGCTATAAACGCCGCAGTATCTGCAAGTTCATGGCTCTTCTCTTCTCTGCGTTATTAAAAACCGAACCGAACAAGAGCACAAAAGCCTGCTGTGCTGCTGTGCTGCTGTGCTGCCGCTGCACGAACGAGACAGACAGGCCAAGAGATTGATTAGCGGCTAATTGCGGATATCGGGAATCATAATTACCTTGAGCGATGGTGGGTGATCAAGTTTTCCTGGACGAAAGCCGCGGCGAGAGGCTGCTCCCTGTCTGGTGCATTTAAAGTTGATCTATTCCCACTCGGCGTCCCCACCATTCTCATTCATGGCCGCGTTCTCAGCTTGCAGATCGTAGTCGCAGTAGCGGCTCATTTGGTTGTTTTTGTCTTTCGCGCTTTTGCCAGGCCGCCTCTTCCCTTTTGTCGCTTCCTCTTGTTTCTCGTCCAGCCACAGCCCAGCTAGCAGTGCACTTGTTTGCTTAGCTTTGGCTCCTGCTCCATTCGTATTTTGCTTGGAAGTCCCGATGATTTTGCGAGAGAGATAGTTCCAAGTGGAGTTGGCCTCGTCGAGAGCTAAAGTTCTGTGCTCGCTACGGTTGGCGGTAACTGTAAGTTTTGCATTCGCTGCGTCTCGAGCTTGAGTTTGTTTTGAGCCTGTTTGATGTTGCTGCTCTAGTTTCGAGGAGAGAGTCCGAGAGTCTCGAGTATCCGAGTGTTTTCTTTCTGCTGTTCCCGGTGTAGTGTCGTCACGGAAACAATGCCCGCCGCTACTAACAAGTTGCTGACGCGCAGGCCGAGAATCTCCTCAAGGATCTGAAAAGAGAGAAGACGTCACAATGGAGCATGGCCAGCAAGTGTACTGGAAATGTTGCTCACCTCTTGGCTTTGTGGTTAGGAGATTCAACAGGCGAACTCCATCTGATCAAGTAAGTGCCGCGGAGAACGAGCAGCTCGAGGGCTTGAAAACCGTGACGAGGAACAAGGGGGGCTGGAAAACTTACCCCTTCATCATAGGTGCGTTGTCGTTATGTTTCCCAAAGCCCCTGCAGAAAACACGTGATCAGGCACAAATATAACAGTAAACACTTGTCTCGTTGGCTCACTCCAAACTGTTCTTCTGTGCCTGCAGGGAATGAGATCTCCGAGAAGTTGGCAATGATCGGACTTCATGTAAATCTTATAACGTACCTCGTGCAACAGCTCAACATGAGCAATGTTCAGGCGGCTGTGACTCTGACTAACTTCAATGGCTTGAACAACATCACTCCGCTGCTGGGTGCGTACGTTGCGGATGCTCACTTGGGACGATACATGACGATCATTATCGGCTCTCTAACATATGCCATTGTGAGTAATCTGTGTCACAGAAAAGGAGAACTTTTTTATCGTACACCAAATCATTGAAAGTTTTACCTGTCCTCGCGTTTCAGGGAATTGTGATGCTCACAATCGATGCAACTTTCTCATCCCTCCGGCCGCCGCATTGCAACGCTGCCAAAGAAGTAGCCTGTCAACCGGCGTCGTCAGCTCAAAAGGCCTTCCTTTATATCTCCTTCGCGTTCTTCGCGCTTGGCTCCGGAGGCATCAAGCCTTGCGTTGCCGCGTTTGGAGCAGACCAGTTCGATCAGAAGAACTTGAAGCAAAGAAAGCAGTCGTTCAGCTTCTTCAACTGGTATTTCTTCGGCCTGGGAATCGCCATTCTTCTGTCCGTCACAGTCATCGTCTACGTCCAGGAGCACGTCGGATGGACCTGGGGTTTCGGAATCCCTGCCGTTGCTATGGTCATATCCGTCATCTTCTTTCTCGTCGGCTCGCCATGGTACCGGCACGTTGCACCAAATGGAAGTCCCTTCATCAGGCTACTCCAAGTTGTAGCCGCAGCATATCGGAAACGCAGATTAAGCCTGCCGGAAGATCCCGCACACCTTTACAACGTTGAAGCCGAAACTGGAGTTCGTCTACAACACACGGACCAATTCAGGTGACGTTCTCTGCTCTTCGTAAAAAGTCTGACTTCGCCTCTCTCTCCCAGGTTCCTTGACAAGTCGGCCTGTCCAGCCGATGAAGACTTCGAAGACGGTAAACCACTGCCATGGAGGCTGTGCTCCGTCCAGCAGGTAGAAGAGCTCAAATGCATCATAAGAACCTCGCCTATATGGGCCACTGGCATAGTCTTCACGCTAGCTCACGGCCTCCAAAACACTTTCACCATCCAGCAAGCCAGAAGTATGGACCGACACCTACGCTCTTTCGTCATACCGCCTGCAACTTTCCACGTCTTCGGAATCCTGACACTGCTCGCTTGCGTTCCACTATACGACCGGGTCTTCATGCCGCTGGCCAGAAAAGTCACGGGCCACGAGCGCGGCATTACTTTCTTGCAGAGAATCGGAATCGGCCTCTTCATCTCTATAATGGCCATGGTAGTTGCGGCGTTTGCCGAAGGAGCTCGGAGAAAGGCGGCACTAAATGCCGGACTCCTGGACCACCCCCACCGAACGGTTCCTTTCTCTGCCTTCTGGCTGGCGCCACAGTTCATCCTTATCGGCATGTCCGAGTCTTTCGTATCCATCGGACATCTGGAGTTCTTCTACGATCAGTTTCCAGAGCATCTCCGCAGCCTTGCCAGTGCGTTGTTTTCGAGCATCACTGCGCTGGGTAGCTACCTCAGCAGTATCCTCGTCACTGTTGTTAACAGAGAGACCTCCCGCGGGGGACGAGTAAGCTGGCTCAGCAACAACCTCAACAAAGGCCACCTTGATTACTTCTACTGGCTGCAGGCCGTGCTGTTTGCAGTAAACTTCGTCATATTCCTGTTTTGCGCTCGCTGGTACAGATACAAATCGATTATTGCCGACGAAGACAGTCTGGATTCTGAGAAAGTAGCACTGGAGCTCGTAGCCACTGACAAATTGGACGACAGTAGAAAATGACCGACCAGGTAGGCTCTTCTGCAAGAACTGCTAAGAGTGAGCTGATCGGTTGAAAAGGTCAGGAAACCTGTCACCGCATAAACGCTCATCATGTAAGCAAAGCACGGATAACTTGACCTGAAAAGAGTAAAGTATAAATTTAAAAAAAAGGAAGATTTGCGTTGTATAGGCCCAGAAGGCTCTCTCTTCCTGTCCTAGTTATACGCCTGTACAATAACCACTCTCAGGGGAAGGCCTCATGTCCGAAATGATTAAAGATATCCTTGGCAAAGCCAAACCTGCTATCCTCGTTCAAATATCCACGTAGTTTGGAATTTTGGTTTGTCCAAGGAAGACATAATTCAATTCCTCTTTCCAAACCTGCAGGAAAGAAAGACGTTGCCACAACACAAGCCTCTGCAGCTCCATACCTCATGCCGAAATTCGATTCGCATATGAGGAACATTTGACTTATGAATGTCATTCCCCGCAGGTCCTCGAAGGTGACAGTTGTTCCCAAGCCAGTGACACTGCAGTTAACTCGGACAAGTCAAGGCACAAGGCAACAATAATAGCAACAAAAAGTACACCTTCACTCCATGATCAAAGCCAGACTGGTTAACCGAATTCCGAGCTATCTCACATATATCACAAGAGCTAAGCTTCCAAACCTGCGAGATGGTACTGGTTAGCTGAGTTATTACAATCAAAAGAACAAAAACCAATAAAACCTGAGCCGCAATACTGTATTCTTCAACCAAAGGTTCCTTAGTAAGATGTATCTGTAGAGGGTCATCCGTCGACAGTGAAACATTCAGCCCGCGAGCAAAAAACATTGGAAACGGATTTCGATGATAATCCAGAAAAAGAGAGTTGTTACTCAGAGGGGACATGCTCAAGCCGATCTGAAACAGGACTCAGTCACCAACCACAAAGATACCAAGACAAACCTGAGCGAGGTAAAATAAATATTGTAGACCCGGCGACTTCCGGAGATTATTTCCATGGGCGATATTATGGGTCAAGAGAAAAGCTGCGGCAAGGTGGTCAACATCTCCAGCCTGGGTAGGCAAGGTAAGAGTAGCATAGCGAGCCTAGTCTCATCAGAACATACCTCGCCAGCGTGAGGACGAAATTTGATCGTAGACATTCCTTTCGACTCTCGTAGCTACAATAACACAGTTCGAACGTATTGAAGAGAAAACTAAGAAAAGCTTACCTTGTTAAGTGTGTAGAGATTGGCATACACGTAATATGCCCAGTACGAGTATGCTGGATTGAAAGAAATTTGCCACTGTTCGGGAGTCTGCATATGCTTAGTTGGCCGTCTTTCGGGTTTGCTTTCATCGTCCACCATGTCAAAACCGACAACCTGCATAAAGTTCAGTGATTAAGCTCTAGTTCGAGATGAACACAAAGTAATACCTGCTTAAGAAACACATGGAGTTGAGGATGTGAATCGGGATTCACAGTGACCTCGAACAACGGTATAAAAACGTTGTCAAGAATTGACTGAAAAGAGGTAACAATGCCCATATCATAGTAAACATTGTACAAGCGCGGAAGCTGCATGAACGCAAAGCATGTAGAAGACAAACGAGTGAATAATTCGCAAACCTGGATTAGCCAGACGACGTTCTCACTATACAAATCGTTGTTCACAATCCAGCTTGCTAATTGATCCCACTCGCTTTGTTTTCTGCCATAAACAGAGATCCTATATTCTGCCATCTGCATTTGTACACAAGCTCAGATTGACACATGAAGGTAAGCGAATAAAAACCTGATATTTGCTGCCAGCAAGATCGGAGAAGACTTCCTTCGTCAACTCGGCCAAAAAACGTCCTGTAAACCAGCAAGCGTAATGATGGAAAAAAAGAAGAAAGAATAGGCGGAGAAATTAACATACCTTGAATCAGATTGTCCTGCTTCAAGAATATTTCTCGGAGCCTACTTTGCCCACAAGGATTGTATTTTAAGTTAAATTTATCGAATCTATGGAAAGTATTTTTGTCCGCATGTACATCTAGAAGATCCACATTGAGGTCATAACTGAGAAAACGAGAGTTAGAAAATCGGAGTGGAAAACTTGCAGATTACCCTGTCAAGTCTAGACTTTCAAAAACTTCCTTCAACGTAAGATACTTCCCATCACGAAAAATAACGACCTGTCCACAAAAAACGGCGTTAGCAAGTCAAAAGAAAATAACAATCTCACCTCATCAGGTTCTTTTCTCAACTTCGACTTGATAAAACGCAGGAGATGCTTCTGATTCATACACGACGAGTGATGAACGTGAGTGTCAACCTTACGAACGTTGTAAAAGTCACGATGTGGTGCACTCTTTTGAGCCAAGAATTCCCGATCTGCATTAAGCATCAAGTGCAGACTAAATTTCTGCATCCCGGGAACCGAATAAACTTAACCATAATACCAAAGCACTTTTATACAACATACCTGCTCTAGGAGACGAAGCCTGTGGTGGCAGAGAGTTCGAACATTGCCGAGTGAGACGATTCGAAGTATCCTATGCATGTCAGTAAAAAAGGTTGTAGCATCAGCAACCGGGAAGAGTTCCTCTTTGGCTGATTACACAGTTATTAAAACCTTAGTTGCAAGGAAAAGTTGGTAAGAAAATAAGTACCATCAGCATCCGTATAGACATGGACGACTCCGTTTTCCATGCGATAAACGTGCTATATAATAAAAACAAAATCAAATACAGTACGCAAAATATCGTGTTTCGAACCTTGCTGGGAGCTTGAGGCTCGTATCGAAATGGATCCGGGTTTGCTTTGGGTGTTGACGAGTCAAAGATCCCCTTCTTCCAGGGAGGCACCATTTCCCGAAACACGTACTTGTCTCGCATTTCTAGGCACTCTTGCATCATCAAGCAAACCTCTTCTTCCTCGTCCGAAGGAGCGTCTAGAATAACGACCAAGTGTTAAAAACGCTCGCATCAACCTTCGAAAACAAACCGATTGGAGCCACATTGAGGCGAACAAAAGTCTCTTGTTCTGGCTCCTTTCGGAGGATGTCGGCAGCAACAGGATCCGGTGCGTGATGCATCTCTCCCGGGATACTGATCGATCGATTCATGGCCTTCTGCTGCTCCGAAGTGTCGCTCACAACTGCGCCCGCGGGAGGCTCAACCTGATTACAACAGCATAGAAATCATCACTGGTAGAAAGCAAGCAAAAAGAAAGAAAAAACATTGACGGAGTAAAAAAGGAAACTTACGGCATTATCTCTCGGAGACGATAGCTCGGGAGTCACACCATCCACAGCAACTTCATCCTCGCCAAGATCACTCTCATTGTCTGATTCTTCCATACTTCCAAAAGCACCATTACTTGCCGTAGGAGAGGAGCGCATCACGGAATTCCCCAAAGGAGTAGCTCTTCTAGCAGAGTGAAGAGACTGGCAAGAGCCTAGCAAGAAAAAGACTTGATCGATTTGCAGTAACAGGAAAGGAAAGCACTGACCTTCACGTTTGGTCTTGACTTTGGGCAATCCAGGAGGGATCGCGCAAGCACTGTGGTCAAATGCAGCCTTTTCGATCTTCTCATCGTGATCGGACACGGACGGGGAGGTGGAGGAGACGAGCTTCGAATCGGAGTGATTCGTGAGCCCGTTGGCCACGATCCCCGTCTCCACAGCCAAAATTTCGTAGCTCTTGGCCTCCACCACCGTCTTGGATCGCCTACACTGCGAGCGCCTCACCTTATCCTCCTTGCCAAGCTTCCGGCGCTCCAATCCGCGCTCCAGCAGCCGCTCCATGGATCTCTGATGCATCCAGTAGGCCGATATCGCCATGAAGCTCGCGCCGACGATCGCTGCGGCCGTCAGGGAGACGAGCGACGGGATTTTGCTGCTGTCCGCCGAGGATTCCATGGCGGAGCTCCTTCCAAACCCTAGGGCTTGTAAAATCCAAAACACTACTCTTCCTCTGTGACACAAAAAGAGAGCTAGGCAGCAGCATATTTAAAGAGAGTGTCTATCATTTTAGCTACTACCACTGCAGGTAAACCTTTTTTACTCGCAAGTGGTGTGTGCGTAGTGTGTACCTTTGTCAATTATGCAAAGGCGAAGAACCAACATGAGAGTCTCTCAAAGATATGCGACGAATTTCGAAAACGATATGCCAGCAAATGGGGCACACTTGTACGGCCGCGATCGAGATCCGACGGTCCCCTATCTGCCACGTGGCAGAATATCCTTGGCTTAAACCCTAGCGAGGGAATGAAATATTTCTAGGGTTTTGTTGGAGCTGCGAAAATGTAAGCAACCGATAAATATCGATGCTTCGATCGAGATCCAATGCGCGTGTTGGATGGATTGTCTTCGTTCTGGTGAGGAGATTTTCCATTTCGCCTCCGGCAGGGCAATCCGAGGTATCGCGGGTTGTGGCAGCACTGAAATCGTGCAAAGATTTGGACATAGGGAGGAGGATTCACAGAGATGCTGCTGGAAGAGGGCTGGACACGAATGTTTACGTTGCCGGGAGCTTGGTTTCGATGTACGCCAAGCACGGGAGCATGGTGGATGCCCAAAGGGTCTTTGATAGAATGGCTCGTCCAGACGTGGTCTCCTGGAATTCGCTGATATTCGGCTATGCAAACAACGGGCATGGAGGTATGGCTCTGGATTCTTTTGGACTGATGCAAAGGAAAGGCTTCGTTCCAAATGCCAGGACTTTTGTTGCGGCTCTGAAAGCTTGCAGCGCTCTCGCAAGCCAAGAACAGGGTCAGGAGCTGGGTGGAAAAGCTCTAAAAATCGGATCTTTGCAGAAGGGTCTCACGATTTACGACCAAGCTGTGGAGATCGGCTGCGACTCCGACATTTTTGTTCCAAATGCGGCAGTGGATCTTTTCGCGAAATGTGGGAGCTTGAAAGAAGCCCGGAGAGTTTTTGACGGTATGAAGCAGCGGGACGTCGTTACTTGGAATTCAGTCATGGTGGGACACGGTGACAATGGTGAACCAGAGTCGGCTCTAGAGTTATTCCAGGAGATGAAAGCTCGGGGCTGTCAGCCAAACGCTCGGAGCTACGTTGCTGCAGTGAAGGCTTGCACAAGTCTGGCATCAAAAGAGGAGGCTGTGCGACTTTCGGGCAAACGTGAAGTAAAAGTTCGCTCACTGGAGAGAGGAATGGTTATACACGCCGAAGCTGCTAAAGGTGGTCTCGAGTTGGAGTACTTCGTCGCAAACACGCTGGTGGATTTCTACGTCAAGTGTGGGAGCTCGGCAGACGCTCGCAGAGTTTTTGACAAGATGCCACTGCACGATGTGGTGTCCTGGACGGCGCTGGTGCTGGGCTACGCTGAAAATGGTGAAGGCAAGGTGGCCTTGGATCTCTTCGAGGACATGCAATGTCGGGGCTGTACACCGAATGCTTGGACCTTCCTCGCCGCTCTGAAGGCCTGTAGCTGCGTGGTGGCTGTCGAGTACGTCAAAGCAGTCCTCGCGGATATCTACAGGTTTGGTTTCGAAAGCTATGCTGTTCTAGCTAACTGTATCGTTGATGCATATGGCAAATGCGGGAGGGTCGATGACGCTCAGCTCTTCTTTGACACACTCTGCAAAGCAAACTCCATCGCCTGGACTTCGATCATATCTGGATACACTTCGCAAGGGGACGCAGAGAACGCCTTCGTTTTTTTCAAGAAGATGCGAGACGAAGGTTTGCAACCAAATGCGGTCACTTTCGTATCCGTTCTCACGGCCTGTAGCTACGCGGGACTGGTTAAGCAGGGAAAACGGTACTTCGAGATGATGAGCACCGACTATGGTTTAACTCCCGGGATCCAGCACTACACCTGCATGGTGGATATCTTGGCCAGAGCAAACGAACTAGACGCGGCAGTGGCAATGGTGAAAACGATGCCTTTCGAAGCGGACTCTGTGACATGGAGGACGGTTTTAAGCTCTTGCCGGAAGTGGAAAAACTTGGAGAAAGGAAAGCTCGCGTTTGAGGCTCTGGTTAAGCTGGAAGAGGGCGACGTCTCGGCCTATATGCTGATGGGAAGCATCTACGGCAGCCAGGGAATGTGGGAGGAGCAGAGCCGAGTCGAGGGAATGAGAACGAGAGCTCGAGCGTGGAAGAAGTTTGAGCCGGCACAGAGCTGGTGGGTCGATCCAGCGGGAAGAGTTCACTCCTTTTTAGCTGCTGGAGAGAAGAATCATCCGCAGAGGGACGACATCCAGGCGAAGCTGAGCAGCCTTGTGCTGAGAATGAAGGACCAAGGCTACGTTCCAGACTTTGGAAGCTTGAACAACGCCAGCAGCAGGATTTCAAGCGAGGAGAAAGAGGACGCTTTGTGCGGGCACAGCGAGAGGCTAGCGATCGCTTGCGCGCTCATCAACACGGCCCCAGGCGCGACGATCAGAGTGACCAAGAATCTGAGAGTTTGCGACGATTGCCACAGGGCTATTGGATTGATCTCCAAGATCGAGCAGCGGGCGATAATTTGCAGGGACGCGAGCCGCTTCCATTCTTACAAAGATGGAGCGTGCTCTTGTAACGATCACTGGTAGAAATCGGGCGCTAACGTTAACGCGCCAGTTTTTAAATTTGAAACTAAGCATATTTTTTATGCTTCCAACGGATCTAGGGCTAGGGCGAGGGATTCTTCCATGGCTTAATGGACAAGGCGCGGCTCGACCAGGTGAGTTCGACCCATCGATCGCTGGATTGCGCAGCTCTGATCGAGGCGCGCGTTCTTCCAGGTCCAATCGAAGAAGAAGCAGAAGCTATCGGCGAAATCGGTCTCTCCGGTCGCGAGGAGGGCGAGTTTGGACGACTCGTCGCCGCACAGGAAATGCAGCCTGGACGGGTTCATTGTGAGTAACAAGAGTCCAGTGTCAGTGGCCGAGGCTACTCGGGAGAAGCGCAGCGTCGTGGAGGCGAATTCTTCCGTGAGGACGAGTCTTTGCAACCGGATTGAGGATCGCATCGCTCTTAAGAGGTGTTCTACGTCGATTCACGGGCAGGAAAACGAGGAACAGCGGGAGAAGAAGATTAAGCAAGAGGAAAATCACAAGCCCGACAATCAGCCAGAAGATAAGCTCACTGCTTTCAGTGCATTGTTGGAGGGACAGGAAAGCAAACGAGAAGAAATAGCGAACGAGTTCCTGGCGATCTGTCTCCAGTAAGTGACGATGATCTTTTTTCTTTCATTCCTTTCTGCTGATGCGTCTGTTTGGTTTCAGTGGTGTTTCCCCGACAAAAAAGGTAGCAGCTACCTCTAGAGATGTTTTGCAAGAGAAGAGCGAGAAGATGGACGTCTCTCCAAAGCAAAGCTTTGAGAAGCGACCTGGCGATTCCTCTCAGTGCAACGAAGTGGAACGAGCGGCTGAAATGGTTGAAATGGCTGACAGACAATTACCGGCCTTTCAGCACAGTGCGAAGAAGCCACCATGCACTCCTCATGCAAGTGCTGGAAATGGTGGCGAGCCCAAGCTGACTCCGAACTGGCTACTCGACAACAAGTATGTATCACCAGGAGATAGCTTCTGGGACGAGGCAATACGCGTCCTTGGGAGCAAGAAAGGTGACTGCTCGGAAGTGAAGTCGCGTATCAACCCCGACGGTCCTAATTTATTGAACTCTCCGCTACCGGTCGTGTGCTTCGACTTTGCGAGTCATGACAACGTTGGCAAAGAAGCTGCTGCAGCTCCCACTGAAGAAGGAAAGGCAATCGTGAACGATCCATCGTCCTCAGTCTCCGGTGAGAAGTTATCCGATTGGCTTCCGGCTGAATTATGTGAAGGATACTTTCGGAAGGGGGTTAGAAGACTGTATCAATGGCAGGTATGCTAACTGTTTGTGATTTTACTGCCTACTTACAAGAAACTACAGGTTGATTGTCTACGCCTTGATGGAGTTTTGGATGGTAAAAGTCTTGTTTACTGTGCCTCGACAAGGTACTTGAGATTTCTTATTTAGTTTTCTTTTATGGTAATCCTGAAAACTTTTGACAGTGCAGGAAAGAGTCTTGTTGCAGAAATCTTGATGTTAAAAAGAGTGCTGGCGACAGGGAAAATGGCAATGCTGGTTTTACCATATGTCGCGTTGTGTTCTGAGAAGGTACGCTTGGTTTTCTTTTGTCAAAACGTCAACTGGTTTTTGCTTTGCTAGACAGAGCATTTAGAGGCGGTACTGGAACATGTTGGCAAGCGTGTCCGTGGATATTTTGGGACTCACGGGAGTAAAACGCTACCTCCAGATACTTCACTTGCGGTTTGTACCATCGAAAAAGCGAACTCACTCATCAATAAGTTGGTAGAGGATGGGCGGCTGTCCGAACTAGCAGTTGTAGTTATAGATGAGCTTCATATGGTATGTATGCTGACATCCCAATATCTTTCTTATAACAGTCTGGTGCAGGTTGGAGATAAAGAAAGAGGTTATTTGCTAGAACTGTTGTTGACCAAGCTACGATATGCGGTCGGTAAAGGTGACTGTGAAAACAGCAGCCCCGACGGCCCAACGAGCTTACAAATTATAGGAATGAGTGCAACGATGCCTAATGTAGCAGCCGTTGCATCATGGCTTCAGGTATTGCAATCTTTTATTCAAGTCTTATAGACCATGATGATATTTTGCAGGCTGCATTTTATGAGACTAACTTTCGCCCGGTTCCTTTAGACGAACACATTAAAGTCGGGAACACCATTTACGATACTAGTATGAATACTGTTCGTGCTCTAAAAGTAGGCTCTGAACTTGGCGGCAAGGATCCAGATCACATCGTCCATCTGTGCCATGAGGTTACTTCTGCGTTTTACCCCTTTCATAGGCCTTACTGATTCCAGTTTGTGCTCTTTGTTGTCTAGGTGGTTAATAAAGGCCATTCTGTGCTTTTGTTTTGTTCAAGTCGTCATGCCTGCGAAACTACTGCCCGTCATGTTGCAAAATATTTGCCAAAGTTTTCAGTGTCTTCTCAAGGGAATGCAGCAACCTACAGAGATGGATCCGAAGCAGCTGAAACATTGCGTAAGTGCCCCGCGGGTTTGGACCCTGTGCTGGGAGATACCCTGCCGGCTGGTGTCGCCTACCATCACGCGGGTCTCACGGTAATTCTGTCTGAAGTTTTCAACCTCTGTATTCTACTTTGATCTTACAGGCCGAGGAAAGAGAAGTTGTAGAAACTTGCTACAGACAAGGAATCGTTCGTGTATTAACAGCGACCTCGACACTTGCTGCTGGTGTGAATCTTCCAGCTCGAAGAGTAATCTTTCGGACTCCCAAAATTGGGCGGGACTTTTTGGATGGGACGAGATACAGGCAAATGGCTGGGAGAGCAGGAAGAGCAGGGATAGACACGCATGGCGAGAGTGTAAGACTTCTCCCGTTTATGTATTCTGAAATTTTCCGACTGTTGGTTTTGCAGATATTAATCTGTAAAAGTGAGGAGCTCAGTAGGATTCTTCCCATTCTGAAAGAAGGTTGTCAACCGTTGCAGTCATGTCTCGCCGAGGAAAAGAATGGAATGATGAGAGCTCTTTTGGAGGTGGTGGCTGGTGGCATCGTCCAAAGCGCACAGGATGTCAACCGCTATGTGCGCTGTACCCTTCTCAACTCTACACAACCTTTTGATGACGTCGTGAAGTCTGCTCAAGATTCTTTGAGATGGCTGTGCCACAAGCGACTGATAGAGTGGGATCAGGAGTTACAGATCTACAAAATAACTCCATTAGGAAAAGCAGCGTTTGGCAGTTCGCTCAGCCCGGAGGAATGCTTGGTACGTTCTCGCTCGTTTTTTCTGGCAATGACGAATTTTAATTATGAGGATGCAGGTTGTCTTTGAGGATCTTGCTAAAGCCCGTGAAAGTTTTGTTTTAGCGTCAGAGTTGCACCTTGTTTACGAGGTTACTCCTATTCACGTGGAGCTTGAACCGGACTGGGGAGTTTACTATCAAAGATTTGTCGAATTGTCCCATGTCGATCAGGTTCTTATAGACGAAAGCTAGAAATATACACTGTAATGCTTTCGCATTTTACAGGCAGTTGCTAGCAGAGTTGGGGTGACCGAGGCATCCCTGATGCGCATGGCTCATGGAGCACCGATGCAGGGCCGTAAAAGGAGTATAAAAGGTAGTGAGAAGGCTAGCGAGGCGGATCAAAACTTGCGTGTGTACAGACGCTTTTTTGTGGCTCTTATATTGTCCAAGCTTGTTCAGGTATGTATGGTCGACCTTTGTTTCGTAATACTGAAGTTTCGCCACTAGGAAGTGCCGTTAATGGACGTCTGCAGTACGTTCAAGGTGCCGAGGGGCACCGTGCAAGCTCTTCAGGATAGTTCTGGCCGATTTGCTGCTATGATCTCTACGTTTTGTGAAAGACTTGGATGGCATGACTTGGAAGGATTAATATCGAAGTTTCAGAATCGCGTCTCTTTCGGCGTGAGAGCGGAGATTGTGGGGCTCACAGAAATTCCCTTCGTGAAGGTATGGTTTCAACGATAGAAATTAACATTGTTTTACCTTTGTTTTATGTTTTCACAGGCTGCACGAGCTAGAGCTTTATACAAAGCGGGCTTACGAACAGTTGAAGCTGTAGCTGAGGCTACAATTCCTGAACTTGCAAACGCGCTGTCCGATTCTTCATTCAAAGGACATGCAGGTTGGCTTATCTTAAATATCGGATGCTTTTACTCACAAGCTTTTTGTAATAGATGCTGGTAAGCAGCAGTGGATGTATGCTGCAGCGGCAAAGAAAATAAAAAACGGAGCAAGGAGAATTGTCCTGGATCGAGCAGAAGAGGCGCGAATAGCTGCTTTCTCGGCCTTTCAAGCTCTTGGAGCAACGATTCCGCATTCGCTGTCGCAGTCTTTATATGCTAGAGTTCAGAGGCCTGAGGCTGAGACGGACGAGATGGCCATATCTCCAAGGCAAGGCGAGGGCAAGGCCGACGTTCATAGCACTGACAAGGAAAACCGACCAGTAAATATGCAAGAAAATGGTAACCATGGCTCCAATGCGTTTGGAGGCAGCCTCATCAAACAAGATATCAACGCTCAGCCCGTTCAACAGATTCAAAAGTGTGAAGTCTTAGACAACGGGCCTGTAGACTTCGAGAAACTGGAACCTACTGCACGTGAAGCCTTTTTCCAGGCTTGGCAAGGGTCTCAGGATTTCTTCTTCGATCTACATTTTGAGGACCAACGAGGTGCATTCTCCAAAATATTTGGATTTGCTGTCTGCTGGCAAGAGTCTCCAGTATATTACGTTCGGGTCGTCGAAGAAAGTTGGAGGAGGATTTCAAGAGTTTTCTCTCGAAAGGGAGTGCACAAGTTTTGTTGGGACTTGAAAAGACAGATGAAGGCCCTCGATACTCCAGCTTTTTCTCAAGAACGAGGTGAAATACAATTCTTCCAGCAGGCTGGAAGCAAACTAAATCCTCTGAGTCCACTGCTAATGGAGGCGCCGTATATTGACTTCCGGATAGCTGCTTGGTTACTATGGCCAGATGAAGAAAACAATCCATCCTCGACACTAGAACAGGTTAGCATTCTTATTTTCGTGTGGGCCTGTTCTCACCGTTTCGTTTTACAGCTAGTGAAAAGGCGTCTGCCTGGTGAAGTAGCTGCCGCTGCAAGCCGAGCAGGAAGATGGACCAACCAGATGAAAAACGAAGCACACAATGGCTGTTGTCGTCGTGCCGCTCAAATCCGCGGTCTGCATTCCGTGCTGTATAAATTATTGCTATCCGAAGCTCTCCATGACCCACTCATGCAGCTGGAGATGCCGATGGTAAGCTTACGGAGAATTCCAAGCTTCCTTCTAACAGATCTTTTTCAGGTGAGAGTGCTGTCGGACATGGAAAAGTGTCCCATTGGTGTGAATATGAAGTCCTGCTTTACCGCTCGCCATCTTCTCGAGACAAAACTCAAAGAGCTCGAGTCGAAGGCACAAATCATGGCAGGAATGAACTTCTCGCTTTCGTTGCCGGCAGACGTTGCGGACCTTCTCTACAGGCACTTGAAGCTACCTGTGCCTCCTGGCTGTGCAAAGGGAAAACAACATCCTAGTACGGATAAGCAAGCCCTTGATCAACTGAGGTGATGGTTTCAACTCTAGTTACACGGGTTTCCTGACTTTACTTTTTTTCAGGGATCGACATCCGGTCGTCAGCTTAATCAAAGAACATCGGAGTCTTTCAAAGCTCTTGCACACTACGATTGGAGCTGTAATTTCCACTGCTGACAAGTCTTTGAAGGATGCAGACAATGTCATTCAGTATATAAACGGACAGTGGCTTCATACCTCCACAGGTACTGGCAGACTGTCTATGGAAGATCCCAACCTTCAGGTAAGAGATTTGACTTTTTTTTTCATCCCTCTCCTAAACTTTATACATCGTGAGGAAGTGCGTGGAGCATTCCATAACTTTTTTGCTTGAGGAGCATTCTACTGGGAAACCGAGAGAAGTCGAAGTCAATGCTCGACAGTTTTTTGTTCCTACGCAGGTATTATCTCAAAGTTTTCCCACTGAAACGATGGCTTATCTTATTTTGTACAGAAAGGCTGGGTTTTCCTATCAGCTGACTATTCTCAGATCGAGCTACGATTAATGGCACACTTCTCTGGGGATGAAGCTCTGCTTTCGCTGCTTCGGAGGCCAACTGGGGATCTCTTTCGAATGATGACGGCGAAATGGACCAGCCAGCCTGAAACCTCTGTGACGGATAAACAGCGAGAGAGAACGAAACGGATGGTGTATGGAATCCTGTATGGGATGGGCATCAATAGCTTGGCTGAAAAGATGGAATGCACCGTTGGGGAGGCTAGCAGATATCACGAACAATTCAAGGTAGCGTTTCCTGGAGTCAATGCTTGGCTCCAACAAGCAGTCGATGGCTGTCGTCGCAACGGGTATGTTATGTAAACTTTGAAGTTGTTTTTGAGTCTTACTGTGTTTCCTTTTTTATTCCAGATACGTAAAAACGCTTGCAGGTAGGAAACGGTATCTAGAGAAAATCAATGATTCCAAACGGGGTGACCAGGCCAAAGCTGAAAGACAAGCAGTGAACTCCATTTGCCAGGTAACTTCATTAAAACTTTTAACCTCCAAGGCCCTAGTCGTTTCTTCTAATAGGGATCGGCAGCAGACCTTATAAAAATGGCAATGATCGATTTGCACACCGCTTTAGTTGGAAAGAACGATAAGACTTTGGCATACACAGACCCGCAGGGAAACTCAAGAGCAATTCATTTCTCTATGCTCCACAATCGATGTAGATTACTACTTCAGGTACTTTTCTTTTGGTTTTACCTTGGAGTCATGGCATGGAATGACAGATCCATGACGAGCTTTTGCTGGAAGTGGAGGAGGCCATAGCCACGGATGCTGCTGCTATTGTCAAAGCGTGCATGGAAGGGGCAACAAGTTTAACAGGTAGTGGTAACTTTGAACAGCTATGGATTCACAAACTTTTGGTTTTGGTTCTTGCAGTACCACTTACTGTGAAAGTGCAGTCTGGTCCCTCTTGGGGAGAATTAAGCCCACTTTCAATATAAAATGTTTTGATAAACTGATAAATTATTTTGATGACATGGCGCATTTTGTTTTCCGAAACGAGCACGTAGGTCCTTAATTAAATTCCGCATGCAACACCTCTTTCTTTCATTTTGTTTCCTTACCTCATAACACTTTGCCTCTCTCATGTTGCATGACTGCAGTATGGTGTGCGGAGAGTATCTCTATCAACCTGTGGAGAGTATTTCTATCAAAGCTGGAACAAAGTAGTGCTCGGTTTTGATGTGAACGTTCTGTATGGCTATGGACGTGATGTGTTGTAAATTTTGGGACAGACCCCATTTGAGTTGCTTTGCACTTCAGTGAACGACAAATGACTACAAAGGACCCTAATAATATTTATTCTATTTTTGTATTCGTTGAAAGAGTACACTAAAATTAAAATACTCTACCTTTTAATTAAGTATTATACATATATTTTAAAACTTATAAATTGAAAAAACGTTTTTATTATAAGTAATTACAATTAAGATTCATCAATTTACTATAATTTCTCAATTGGAAAAACCATAATGATGATCTTTTGCAAGGTCTTGCTTGGCATGGATTTGATTGTACCGAAGGATCTACCAATCAAACCATCTCATGTACCACATGAATTTGCTAAGACAGAGACTCATTACCAGCTCAAGAGCATTGAGCTCAAGGAGATGCTTGCTCCAAGGAGATAACACTCATATGTTGGCAAATCTATAAACCAAGCAGCAAACTTAGAATTTGATACAGTATACCACCTAATTCTCATATGACACTGCTTTATATCTTCTCTTTCTTGCAACTCAGTTATATACACTCATGCAATGTACTGCAGAAGTTTCTAGTTTCATTTGCTCAATTCTACTGATCTTGGCATTAGCATGAATTATTCAAGTCAATTTTTGTGTGTAATTGCATTGTTGAAATGCAACTTTGAGAATAGCTGCAACGAAAGTTCCCTGGATCAATGAGGACAAACAACTTACACCTAAATAGATGTTTTGGAATTTTGTCAATTTTATAACCCTTCTGGAAGTGCCACCTATGGTGTGAGCAACAACAATATGGAGTTTTTCAATGTTACAAATGAAAATAGATTAAGCATGTCCCCCTAATTCTTTGTTATAATCCTTTAGCAATTTCTAAAAGTTGGCGGACAAGCTGGTCATGCTTTGAAAAGAATGGCGAGTGATCTGAGTCAATACTAAGCACTTCTTTAGGTGGAGTCCTTCTGATAAGATCTTCTTGATTTGCACTAAGGAATAATTTGTCCTTGCTCAATGTTTTGATAAAATAACGAGGAATAGTGCCATAACGAGTGCTTGTAAAATTCACAGTGCCATCAAATATAGGACATGGCTTCAGCAAAGATTTAGCCAGCTCCACATTCTATGCAACAAATACATATAAAATCAATTCATCTTTAACCAATTTTACCTCTAGCGGGGAGATGTTGTAGAAGTACTTTTGAACTTGATCCAGCTTGAAATAAGCTGCTGCTGTTGAGCCATTGACAAAAGAACTGATGCCACTGGCTATTAAATTTGCAACAATCTTGAAAACAGAAAAAAATTATAAAGAAAACTCCAAGCTTAAAGATCTAAAATCTTGTATACCTGTGAAAAAATGGCACCACCGTCTGGGCCCGAAGGTAGCATCACAGCTGCTAAATAAACCCCAGCCATGATCTTCTCAGGGAACTTCTCTAATATATAAGTAACACTCAGTCCCCCCAAACTGTGCCCAACTAGCACAACCTGAAGTTTTTCAAAGAATATAACATCAAACAACAGAAGCCAGAAACATTATAACCTTGTCATCAGGGGACAAAGATTGAATAAGTTGTGTCAAGGGAGTTGTGTAGTTCTCCAATGTTCCAACAGTTGTAGCATCTTGACTATTAATTCCAGCACTAGTGAGATCAATTGAATCCACATAGTGGCCCATTTGCCTGAGTCGGGAGGATACCTTATACCAGCACCATGCACCATGTCCAGCTCCATGGACAAGAACAAAGTGAACACTCTTTCTATAGCACTCACAACATACTACTAGGATGAGAAGAGCTATTAGAAAATAGGAAAGTCTCATTGATTTAACAAAGAATTCCAGTAAGATTAAATTCTTTAAATAATATAATGCTACCAATATTTCAAGATTGTAATCAAATCCTACATTAGGTGATATATCAAATTCTACCATACTGGTTTGAAATATATGCATGTGTACTTGAAATATATGCATATGCTCACATTTTTTATTTTTCTTTGTTCTTCACCAAATATTTGGCTGCTACATCAATATAACGCATTATTTAGATAGTAGTGTAATTTTTGCCGACATGGCAGTGCAAGTAATAGGTCAACACATAAGCAGAACCATTCAACGAATCCAAGCCCAAGACGTTTTGACCCACAAAACTTCCTCGCCTCTCCTACACAGTCTAAATTCCCGGCCGCAAATGGCACGGTGGCTATGAGTTCTTCAGCCTTGTTCAAGTAACCAGCTCGGCTTAACAATCCCAGCAAGCAGATATAATGATGCTTCTTGTGGGCCATTTCAAAATCAAAGTGAATCGATCGAAACAAGCTTCTTCCATGGAACACCTCTCCTTTGTGTGACCATGCCAGGAGAACACACCAAAATGTGACATCGTCCAGTGTTTCCACAAGGTTCATCTCGTAAAGGAGCTCCTTGACTCTACATTTTGTGCGAAGCCACCAATAATTGAGTTCCAAAGGATTACATCTTGGCTTGGCAAGCGTTGAAATGTTCTTTTGGCTCTATCCCAGATGACCATTTTTGGCACATACAATACTAAGCAAGGCAGTCTATGAGATTTTTCGCTTCCTCTGAGATATCCATGTTGTGCACATTATATTGCAAGAAATAAGGTCTTTTTCTTGCATAGAATCAAATTTAACTTCGGCTTCGGCATAGCATCACACTCGACAAAATTATAGAATATTCTCCCATCTGAGATTACTGTGTTTAAGATACCACTCTCAAAGAACTCTGTTTTCTCCACTTGCCGCTATCGTCGTTGGCATAGAATATTCTTTTGGCATCTTTAGAATGTCCCGATCACCCGTTCCTCCGTTCCTGGAATCAAATTGCTCTTTAGCTTCCTGGAGATTCCCCGACAGATCGCGCTCGGCATCGCATCGAACAGCGATTTTGTGCGCGCCAGCCGCCCGCCACGCGGGTATCAGCACGAAATCGATCGAAGAGCTCCTGGGCCTCGTCCAAGAGCCCCAATCGCGTCAGTGCATTGAGCAGCAGCGTCCAGGAGATAAGATCCCTCTCGGGCATCGAATCGAAGAATTGCTTCGCACCGTGGCTGCTAGCATCGCATTCATCGCTACGAGCTTCCATTCCTCCATGGCGGTGTAGATCGCCCAGGCGTCTTCCAGGTGCCCATTGTGGGTGTAGGCCGTGAGGATCGAGTCCCAGGAGAATTTGTCCCTTCTCTGCATCGCATCGAAGATCAATCGGGCTGCCGCATCGCCCATACGCCTGGATCATCACACTTCAGGTGTAGGGATCGACTTCGAGGCCATCGCGACGGATCTGGGTGTGAATTTGATGAACCTCGGCCAGGGAATTGCAAGACCTAGGAGCCTCCCATGAACGACGGTTGAATATGCCCTAGAAGATTCTCTCGGGCATCTACAAACTTTTAGGGTTCTTGTTCTTAGCTATCGCGAGCTGGAAGGAATCGAGCTCCACGATTTCGCTGCCGGAGAAGAGAAGTCGCGTACGGATGAGAAATCTTTGAGCGCGCCAATCGATGATCGAGATTAAAAAGAAAGCATGGAGGAGGCATCAAAGTTCTTGGAGCTTCGCGGCATTGAGGAATTTGCGAGATCCGCCACTTTCACTGTGCTGCGAGCAGCGGCGAAGTCGAAGGGTGGAGTGGAAGTCTGGGACCACTCGCTGCGTGAAGAACTGGTTCTCACGAAGAATATCGCACGCTTGGTTTGATTCCTCCTCCAGGAAAACGACGAGGAGGCTTGAACCAAAAGCTCCGTCTTCTAGGGTTTGGATGTGGAGGCGGCGCTGTTGTGACGATGTTCCGGATGAGCTGCTCATCCGGATCATGTCCCTCCTCCCCTCCTCCCGCGACTTGCATTCCTCTTCCCTGGTAAGCAAGAGGTGGGCGCGACTGGCACGCCTCGTCACGCATCTTTGCCTCGACTCGAGCAGTCCTGGCGTGGAGCAAGGCCTCGCGCGCTGGTTTGGTCATCACAACAGCCTCCGCCAGCTATCGATCCAGAGCTTCTTCCAGCACCAGCCGTACTGCAGCTCCACTCGCTGGCTGCACCAGGTCGGGAAAAGTCTCCACTCGTTGAGCATCTCGAGCACCAGCTCGCAGCACAAGTTCGATGGCTTCTGGTCCAACGTCTCGGCCTGCCAGGAGCTCCGCTGCCTCCACGTCCATGGCAAGCAACTCGCCAAGCTGGGCGATGCAACTTTGCCTTCACCGCTGCTGCCCAATCTCCTCTTCCTCACCCTCCGCACAAAGGTGGACGTGACTTCCCTTCAGCAGCTGCTCGACCTCTGCCCCTCGCTCCTTGTGGTGCGCATGAACGGGCTATTGGTGAGATCCCCGGGTACGTAAAAGCCATAGTGTTTGCCCAGTCTCGGCATTTGTTCCACGCTCGATCCTGATTCTCGTGAGTGTGGTTCATGCAGGGACCTACGTGCTCAAGAGCCGCACTCTTGTCAGCTGCCAGTCCGAAGGTTACTTTGATGGCGGCCTCGACAACGTCACCATTGTCCTCGACGCGCCGAAGCTCCGGTGGATGTTCCTTGTCGCCCCGCGCATCGTGCTGCTGCCTGCTACGTGCAACATAGACTGGATCCGGATGACTGGAATCATGGGTGGAATCCAGGGGCTGCGCTACTCGAGGCTCACAAAGCTTGCGTTCATCAACCCGTTCTACAGCTCCGCTCAAGTTATGGACAAGGTGGCGAGGTACTTCGCTTGCAGGAAGTCGAGCCTACGCGGGATCAAGACGTTCTGCTATTCCGTTTTTGACGATGGCATTCCACTGTTTTCTATCGATCTTGCTGCATTGCTGGAGCCTTTCCAGGGCCTTGAGATGTTCATCATCAGTTTCAAAAGCATCAAGGTTAGCGTTTTGGTAATTGTTCTCTTCTCCTCGTGATTTGTGTGTACGTGGTGACTGAATGCAGTTGCTCAACGTTGCAAACTGCACCACCCCCTTGACAGTCATTGTGGAGTACTTCTGCGTCACGCACGTCTGGGAAAGTGAAGGTCCCGAACTGGAGGTCATCCGCGAGCTGCTGAGGAGAAGCAGCGGCACCACTCTGGAGTTGAGGGGCTTCTACATTAGAGAGGATGTGAACCCCGAGATCCCTCCGTTGCTTCAGGAGCTTCCAAAGGAATTCCCAGGACGCGTCAAGCTGCCACCCCTGCAGCTTGTGCCCCGGCCCACCTGCGGCATTCTGTGGCGATCCTGGCAAACAAGTGTTGCCATGGAAGATCCCTACACTGGATTCAGCAACCACTGGTGCAACTTAGTGTACGGGTGGCAGTCCGAAAGGCCATGCGCGTGGGAGTAGCAGTCGCTCCTCAAGACGATGGCAACAATTTTAAGCTGCAAGGTATTCCAAGTACATTTGCAATCCTTCTTAAGATCACCTTTCCAGGTGAGAGTGCTGTCTCGGACATGGAAAAATGTCCCATTGGTGTAACTCTGACGTCCTGATTTATTGCTCGTCCTCTTCTCGAGGCAAACTGAAAGCACAATTCATGGCAGTTTTACTTGCAGACTTTGCAGACCTTCTCTACAGGCACTTGAAGCTACCTGTGCCTCCTGGAAAACAACATCCTAGTACGGAGAGGCAAGCGCTTGATCAACTGAGGTAATGGTTTCAACTCTAATGACACGGCTTACCTGACGTGTACTTATTCCCAGGAATCGTCATCTTGTAATCAAAGAACATTTGAGTCTTTCAAAGCACTTGCACACTGCGCTCGAACCTACGTTGCTGCAGTGAAGGCTTGCACAAGTCTGCATCAAAAGAGGAGGCTGTGCGACTTTCGGGCAAAAAGAGAAGCAAAAGATCGCTGACTGGAGAGGATAATGCACGCCGAAGCTGCTAAATGTGGTCTCAATTGGGAGTCCTTCGTCGTTCTTACGCTGAAAGCAGTGAAGGCAAGGTGGCCTTGGATCTCTTCGAGGACATCTACACGGGTTTTGCTGTTCTAGCCAACTGGACGACGCTCAGCTCTTCATTGACACACTTTGGACTTCGATGATATCTGGATACACTTCGCAAGGGACGCAAAGGATGCCTTCGTCCTTTCCAGAAGATGCGATGCAAAGGTTTGCAACAAAATGCGGTCACTTTTACTTGTTACTGATGGTTGGGATATCTTGGCCAGAGCAAACGAACTAGACGCAAGTTAGCGGACTCAGTGACATGGAGGACAGTTTAAAGCTCTTGCCGGAAGTGAGAGAACGTAGAGAAAGGAAAGAGCTCGCGTTTGAGGCCCTGGTTAAGCTGGACGTTCCAGAAATTGAAAGTCCGCATCTACGGCAGCCAGGGAATGTGGGAGAGGAGCAGAGCTCGGGCTGGAAGAAGTTTGAGGCGGCACAGAGCTTTCTTTGTTGTGGATGTCGCTCTTCTCGGTGAGTTTCATAGGTTTCTCTTTGGCTGTGTCGGTCCAGCAGGAAGAGCTCACTTCTTTTTAGCTGCTGCAGAGAAGAATTATCTACAGAAGGACGAGAGTTCCAGACGCCAACAGTACAACGAGATCGCTTGCGCGTGGTGGGCGGCTAGCGCGCGCAAATTCGCTGTTCGATACGATGCCGGAGCGCGATCTCGTCTCCTGGACTGCGTTGTTTTGGGCATTTGCGCAGGCGGGGAATCTCCAGGAAGCTAAAGAGCTATTTGATTCCATCCCGGAACGCGACACGTCGGCCTGGACGGCATGATGTCGGCGTACGGCCAGAATGGCCACCTGATGGATGCCAGAAAGACGTTCGATTCCATTCCGGAACGGAACATCTACACGTGGACGGACCATATGCCGAAAGAGGGCATCTGGGTTTCGCAAAGAAAATGTTCGATTCTATGCCGGAATGGAATCTTGTGTCGTGCAATAGCTTACGCGAGGATGCCGAAAGAATATTCTATGCTATGAAAGAAACCAACACGTACACGTGGACGGCAATGGTCGCAACACGGCCAAGTGGAGAAAGTAAGGGAGCTCTTTGAGAGAATGCCCGAGATTAACTTGTACGCGTTAACCTCATTGTTGTCAGCTTACGCACAAAACAGGTATCTTAAACACAGTTGCACAACATGGTTACCTTAAAGAAGCGAAACTAATTTTTGATAGAATGGAAATCAGAAATCTATTATCATGGACTGCCTTGCTTACTGCATACGCCAAAAACGGTCATCTGGATCGAGCCAAAAGGGCATTTCAAGGCTTGCTAAGCCAAGATGTACTCCTTTGGAATTCGATTATTGGTGGCTTCGCACAAAACGTAGAGTCGAGGGATGCGATCCAGCTCTTTTACGAGATGAACCTTGTGGAAACACCGGACGAAGTCACATTTTTGTGTGTACTCCTGGCGTGGTCACACAAAGGAGAGGTGTTCTCTGGAAGAAACTTGTTTCGATCGATTCGCTTTGATTTTGAAATGGCCCACAAGAAGCAGCATTACAGCTGCTTGCTGGGATTGCTCAGTCGAGCTCGTTACTTGAGCGAGGCTGAAGAACTCATAGCCACCATGCCATTTGCGGCCGAGAATTTAGACTGGACGTGTCTATTAGGAGCCTGTAAGAGTCACAGGATGAGAAGCGCGGAAGTTTTGCGAGTCAAAACGTCTTGGGCTTGGACCCATCGAATGGTTCCGCTTATGTGTTGCTAGCAAATCTGTATGCGGCAAAAGAGAGAAAGAAAATTCCGCATGTCATGTCGTGAATGACTGCAACGTTGGCAGCTCTAGTAGCAGCAGTGCAGCATGATAGTGATGCATAGCATAACCTTTTTCATGTGTAGTGCAAGTTTATAACACAAAACGGCGCGTACACTGGTCACCTTGTCATCTTCAAGCTATTACATTCTCCATTTTTTGGATAGAAATCAGGGCGAAAGTCAGGTAGTAGACCAATATTACAATATAATCTTAATTACAATATCATTTAAACAACAGTTTCTAATTAAAAATTTTTTGCTGTGTGTTGTGTTGCAGCAATGCTTGGTTTGCTTTTTTTTTAAAAATATTTTTTATTATGATATATAATTTGCTATGATCTACAGTGCTATTCCTGCTTTTGTATATATTATATCTATTATCCATATATGATCTATTATTTTCTTATTATGTGTATTGTCTTTTATTATTTGTATGTGTCCTTCTTTCTCCATTATTGTTTTAAGTGGTTTTGCTTCTTCTTTTCGATAGTCAATATTGAAATCTCTTGTAATTATTACTGGTTTTTTATTATCTATTTTATTTATATATTTTTGTAGTTGTTTTCTGCATATTTGTATATTTATTCCAGGTTTCTATATAAATCTATTATCTGTAATTTTTATATTTTTTTCTTGTATATATGACATTGCCATTGTTTCTATTTTAAATGTTCTACTTTTTCTGATTTATAGTCATTTGTATGTGTGAAGTCCAAGTGTATGGCTATAATGCTATATACTAATATTAGCATAATGGGATTTTAATAGCCGTCAGATTGATTTTAATTTAGACCACTTGCTCATAAATATAAGCTAAAGTTTGATATACACATTTCTATATTCCATTTCTATAAACTATACACTTACATTGGTGGAGATAAAAGACAACTTTAATTCTTCCTAATGAGTGTTTGGATTTGGGATTTTGGTTTAAATCTAGTTTTTGCATTATTTAAATCTTCCTTTCTTTATATTTTTTTTCATTTCTTCTCTTTTAATTTTTTTTTTTTTTTGTTCATCTTCATAACAAAGTAGTAGCTTGCTCCTCTTTTTTTCCTTTTTATTCATCTTTATGGCAAAGTAACAACTTTCTCTTCCTTTGACTTTGGAGTAGTAATCAATGCCATTCGGTTGCAGTTGAACAGTTAAACTCAAAGTAGTGAGTATTTTTTTTTCTAACATAAGAAAGAGATGTATAAATAATTGATAGATAAATTCTCAAATTCTTAAGTTTGTTTTGTAGAGAACGAATTTTCTTTGATTATGTCCTCAGACAAACTTTCGATTCTAATATGCGAAAGGAGTCATAAATTTTACACTCAATAAAGTCAAACATTAATGCTAAAACTTAAAACAAACATATTTAAAGTGCATTAGAGTTCCTAGTTCAAAAAAGACTAAATTGTTCAAGTAAAAGTATGATTCGATAGAGTTTCTTTCTTTGCTGTAGCAAGTTACAATAACACTAATAATGAGTACTATGAAGTTTTGCTACTAATGGTATGCTTTCTATATCTTATTCACTAGTTATCTTGTATTGTTCTTACATTGTTTAGCTAGGGAATTTCAAGTTGTTATATAATGCATCCAATTAATAACAATTTTGTGAGTTGTTGTGATAGTTATTCTAGATTGCTAGTTTGTGTGCTTTAAAGTCTAAGAATTGTTAAGAGAAACACTACTTCAAAGTTACACGAATAGATATTTGTATTATAGAAAAAGCAATTAAAAAATAGATAAGAGACAAGTGTATTTATTTTTAGTTGTTGGCGATTTCCACAGTTGAATTTTTTTATGTCTCAAAATAGACAATAATATTTTCTTTATTCGATAGAAAAAACCATGTTGAAGACAAATAAATAACAATCTTTTTTGAGAACTCCATATCAAACTTAATCATAGACCCTTCATCCAAAATTATAAATTTTATCCACCATTTTATCATGCACTATAACTTTATATTCCATCAATCTTTTGTCTCCTCTAACATTATAAGAGAGCAAAATGAGAAAAGACTTTTAGCTTGAGTAAGGTTATATTGGTTGTTAGGGATGAAATATTAGAGTTGAAATGAAATATAAATAATTTACATTACTTTGTCTTTAGAAATAAGGCCGTAGTGCATTTTATAAACTTCATTAAGCCTTTTAATTTCATTTGAATCAACTTCCAAGTGTTGCTAAATCACTTGATACATTCATGCTTTTCATAATATTAAAAAATAAAAACTTTAGCATGTATCTAGCATATAGATCTGCTACAATATAATGATATTTTTCTTCATGATCTAGATGCATATAGAGCTGTGAACAATATCTTAGAAATGGAAAACTAAATAGGAAAAAATATTATTATAATCATGTCTAAAGGATTATAAGAAAAACCAATCTTTATTTTAAGAAAGATACCAGTTTTGATTACAACAGCATTTATAGCTTGTGGATAAACTCTAGTAGCCATTAAAGATGATATAGAAGCACCTCTAGTTGATTATTATTTTATTTAACATCAAAATAATCTGTATAAAGAACTTTCCCTAAAGTTCCATGGTGGTAAGTTGGGGTTTTTATGTCGTTCAACCCATATAAAAGGAAAGAATTATAAACTTGCTAATTTTTAAAGAATAAGTTACGAACCTTGTAAGTGAAAAGTATTTACCAGCTGTAAACTTATTACATAACATGAATAAATTGCTATATACAATTAAGGTTTGCAAGCCATGCATATTTGTATAATCCATTATATAAGTTAGGTATTTTGCACTTCGCAGAGTGTTCTTTTCAAAATGAACTTTATAAGTTCCATACCTAGGAAAAAAACAAATAAAAAAAAAAAAGGATTTCGAAACCATATATAAATAAAATCTTAAGCTCAGGAATTTGGGCTGAATTTGCTTTTCCAAAGACAAGTGATGCAATAATGGCTTTTAGGATGGTCAACTTTGTCCTCTTTGCTTGTGAAACTACAAAACCAAAAAGAAATAAAAAAAAAAAACTAAAGAATAAAAAGAAAAACCAACCTTCACAAGAATTTGTTTCTATTGAAGTAAAAAGAGCCAAGAAAAAACTAGAGTTCACTTTGAAGAATTGAAAATAAAAAAGAATAAAACTTTGAGTTAAAAAATAAAATCCGTCAACTTGCCAAACTTAGGGTTAGAGTAGCAGCCAGAGCCAAAACACAAACCCATTTTGTAAGGCAAGTATAAGTCAGTTACATCTTAGACCTGCATTGGGCTGTGTGTTTGAGAATATGCCAGCATCTTCTCTACTACATGGGATGGAATAGTGTGCCCTATTGAGACCACATACAGCCACCTGGATGTAGAGTGATCATGTCTAGTTGACAAGATCCATCCAGCCTCATCTCCCAACTCAAAAGACTCCTCACTTTTTCCATTCTGAGCATAGCACGAGAGGATCAAGTTCCAAGATATAACATCATGATGGTGGAACACTAATATAGAGTCTCCACACCAGGTTTCTATAGTGTTCTTGTGGCAAATTCCCCATACCAACACAAGCATTAATCATTGATAGTAGCTGAGATAATTGCCCTCCAAATGAGGGAGATGATGTAAAGTCCAACTAAATAATTACGATGCTATATATTAATGTTGAGCTTGATACCATGAGCCTAGAAACTTTGAGAGCTCCCTTGCAATTGCCATTTTGGATGTAGAACCCAATCAATGCATTGTAAGTTACTGACTCATGCTCCAAAAGACCTCACAGGCTCACGATGATACAAAGTCGTTAGAACATGCTATGCATACAACCAATATTGTATGCATAATGCTACGTGGCACATTGCATCATATCAGTTATAGAGCCCGTCCTTGCTTCAGTCAAACGTTTTCACCATCCCGACTTGAGCAAGAGGCTGCTCTAGAGAAGAGCCGAGAGCCTGAGTCAAGAGGATGTTGCTCTGCTTGTGGATGATCTTGAGCGAGTGACTTCAAGTCTGAACGTCGACGCAGACCAAAGCCGAGAAGGTGGCGCAAATCGTTTTTCTTGAAGCTGTTGTGTAGCACTTGAGATTGCCATGCAGCAGCAATCCATACTTGAGGCTGCTGCTGCATGATGTGAACGCAAATTTGCGCTTGCTTCTCCGTACTAGGATATTGTTTTCCAGGAGGCACAAGTAGCTTCAAGTGCCTGTAGAGAAGGTCTGCAAAGTCTGCAAGTGAAACTGCCATGAATTGTGCTTTCAGTTTGCCTCGAGAAGATGACGAGCAATAAATCAGGACGTCAAAGTTACACCAATGGGACATTTTTCCACGTCCGAGACAGCACTCTCACCTGAAAAGTATCTGTCAGAAGGTGATCAAAAGAAGGATTGCAAATGTACTTGGAATACCTTGCAGCTCAAAATTGTTGCCATCGTCTTGAAGAGCGACTGCTACTCCCACGCGCATGGCCTTTCGGACTGCCACCCGTACACTAAGTTGCACCAGTGGTTGCTGAATCCAGTGTAGGGATCTTCCATGGCAACACTTGTTTGCCAGGACCGCCACAGAATGCCGCAGGTGGGCCGGGGCACAAGCTGCAGGGGTGGCAGCTTGACGCGTCCTGGGAATTCCTTTGGAAGCTCCTGAAGCAACGGAGGGATCTCGGGGTTCACATCCTCTCTAATGTAGAAGCCCCTCAACTCCAGAGTGGTGCCGCTGCTTCTCCTCAGCAGCTCGCGGATGACCTCCAGTTCGGGACCTTCACTTTCCCAGACGTGCGTGACGCAGAAGTACTCCACATAGACTGTCAAGGGGTTGGTGCAGTTTGCAACGTTGAGCAACTGCATTCAGTCACCACGTACACACAAATCACGAGGGGAAGAGAACAATTACCAAAACACTAACCTTGATGCTCTTGAAACTGACGATGAACATCTCAAGGCCCTGGAAAGGCTCCAGCAATGCAGCAAGATCGACAGAAAACAGTGGCATGCCATCGTCAAAAACGGAATAGTAGAACGTCTTGATCCCGCATAGGCTCGACTTCCTGCAAGCGAAGTACCTCGCCACCTTGTCCATAACTTGGGCGGAGCTGTAGAACGGGTTGGTGAACGCAAGCTTTGTGAGCCTCGAGTAGCGCAGCCCCTGGATTCCACCCATGATTCCAGTCATCCGGATCCAGTCTATGTTGCACGTAGCAGGCAGCAGCACGATGCGCGGGGCGACAAGGAACATCCACCGGAGCTTCGGCGCGTCGAGACCAATGGTGACGTTGTCGAGGCCGCCATCAAAGTAGCCTTCGGACTGGCAGCTGACAAGAGTGCGGCTCTTGAGCACGTAGGTCCCTGCATGAACCACACTCACGAGAATCAGGATCGAGCTTGGAACTGGGCAAACATATGGAGCTATGGCTTTTACGTACCCGAGGATCTCACCAATAGCCCGTTGATGCGCACCACCAGGAGCGAGGGGCAGAGGTCGAGCAGCTGCTGAAGGGAAGTCACGTCCACCCTTGCGCGGAGGGTGAGGAAGAGGAGATTGGGCAGCAGCGGTGAAGGCAAAGTTGCATCGCCAAGCTGGGCGAGTTGCTTGCCATGGACGTGGAGGCAGCGGAGCTCCTGGCAGGCCGAGACGTTGGACCAGAAGCCATCGAACTTGTGCTGCGAGCTGGTGCTCGAGATGCTCAACGAGTGGAGACTTTTCCCGACCTGGTGCAGCCAGCGAGTGGAGCTGCAGTCCGGCTGGTGCTGGAAGAAGCTCTGGATCGATAGCTGGCGGAGGCTGTTGTGATGACCAAACCAGCGCGCGAGGCCCTGCTCCACGCCAGGACTGCTCGAGTCGAGGCAAAGATGCGTGACGAGGCGTGCCAGGCGCGCCCACCTCTTGCTTACCAGGGAAGAAGAATGCAAGTCGCGGGAGGAGGGGAGGAGGGACATGATCCGGATGAGCAGCTCATCCGGAACATCGTCACAACAGCGCCACATCCAAACCCTACACGACGGAGCTTTTGGTTCAAGCCTCCAGGAGGAGTGCGAAACTTTCTTTTTCTCGCAGTGATGTTCGTCGTGAGAACGCTCCCAAGCTTCCAGCACACACCGTGATCCGTGCTGGAAGGAACCCATAGCCACGAGCTTGCCGCCGGGCCGGAGAATAGAAGTCGCGTACGGACGAGATCTTTGATCGCCAATCGATGATCACGAAAAATGGGCTGGACTCGTCGCTGCCCAAGTTTGTTCCTTTCTTCTTCCGGACTTTGTCTCATCGCTGTGTGTAGGTGTCGGCTTTCCGGGCTCCCCCGGCGATCGCAGCAGCCGTTTCTTCTTTGTCTTCTTCTTCTCTCTTGTTCTTCTCCTAGCTAATTCATTCTCCCCTCTGGTTGCTCTGGGCGGGAGTCACAACGGCTGGACTCGAGTTCGCGGCTCAAGTTTGTCACGACTCTCTTGCTTTCCAATCCTTGCTCACCATGTCTGATTTGCGTAGGTGTCCGTTTCTACGGGAAACGCGTTGAGCTCGAGACATACAAAGAATCCCGGATCACTTGGAGCAGGACCGTGTGGGAAGAAGACGACGGCGGCGGCGAACCGAGCAGCAGTGAGCCAGCAGCGATGCAGCAGCAGCTGGTGGCGGCTGGCGAAGGGGAGCCGAATCCGCCCAATTCACGCAATGATCCGCCCAAGCCCGATCCGCCCAACGAGGAAGAAGTCACGGATAACTTCTCCAATGAGCCGGACACTCTGGACTCGTTCAGCTGCGACAACTTTACTCCGAGCTCTCGGCGCGAACGACGCTTTCCCTCGGATGCTGCCCACGTCCTGTGGGACGTGATACACCGCTTATCGGCTCTTGTCGATGGACCGCTTGTCGAGGAACTGCCGCTTCCGCCACCGCCACCTCCCCCGCCATTGTCATCGCCGCCAGTGCCGAGCGGCAGCAATGGCGGCACGGATGCTACGGACCGCTTCGAAACATCTCTTCTCGTTTTGTAGAGTTCCTTTCTTTCTCTTTGCTTTCGTTTTCACTCCCGCCACTCCAGTCGAGAGCCCAATCCACGAAACAAGTGCGAGCCACGAACAAAGAAGCATTGCGGAGACAGAGTTTCCCACTTGCCATGACCCGACCCAAGAGAACAGTGAGAACATATGGAAGACCTGAGAGAACAAGGGCTCACAGCTTTATATTTGAAATCCTGGGTTTGTTCACGGTCTTTCTTCCTGGTGGCAAAGCTTTTGCATACTATGCTGTAGTTTCCTGGATGCATTTCATCCCCTTAGATGATCAGCAGGTAGTTTTAAGTGCTGCCAGCAATGAAAGTGAAAACTTCATTATCATTTGTGCTTTCGACTTGAGCTCTTTTGAGTTGAGTAGGGATTTCATATTCACACCGGAACACTTTTCCATGTCCGACAGCACTCTCACCTGAAGAATACATGTTAGAAAGGAAGCTGGAAGTCTCTATTGCTCAGAAGGCCCTACAGTTATCATCAGTGGAGAGAACTTATAACTTACACAATGGAAATAATAAGGTGAAGCTTTGCAATACTTGATGTGGTCCTTTTCATTGAGTAAAGAGCCTTTTAAATAAATCACGTATCATAAGATTGAAAAAACAAAATAACATTAAATCATCCATTTTGTACTTCATAAATAGACGATGATGGGAGTTGTAGTGTTGTTGTTATCCCACTTATACACTACCTAAATGTTTCACAAATTTTATTCAAACAAATGGAAGAATGTTTGTCAAATATTAATCCCATGATCTAGCATCGACAGCCCATAGCAATCGCAAAAGTAAACTCAACTCTGTTGATAATATTGAATTATGACTATATAAAAGTTTTTATAATGAAACACCAATAGAACACCACCCCTATGACATATGCATACAAATGCTAAAAGTTTATATCATCCTTTTAGAGCCGTTCCACCAAATATCCCTAAATGAGATGTCAAAATGTGAAATGCCTCTACTATAAATACAGGACTATTATCCAAAAGAATCTGTTCCGGACAACAATATTAAAATACCACTCAATTAAAGAGGAAATAACTAATAGTAATGGCAGATGCACTACCAAGAGCACCAATTTCAACCTAATAAGTCAAGTAATCAAAAATAATAATGATATACTCATTGTTAGTAGTCTATTGTGGAAAGAACCCCATTATATCAAACACCACTAACTCAAATGAAAGGGAAATTACAATTAATTCTAATTGTCTTTCTATTGCACGAGGGAGAATATTACAAGCTTGGCACCAAATATAGCTATGCATATATCCGATAACATTACATCACATCTCCAACCAATGGAAAAACTTATATAACTCCTTTACTCATATGAAATACACTAGTGTTGTAGATTGCATAAGAAAGATCTGGGTGGAAGAGGGAATCACCAATTTCTACCAAGGCTACAGGATGAATCTTATGAGAACAATATGACAATGTCCTATATGCCTACCTAGAATAAAAGAATCATGGTAGGTATAGAGAAAGTATAGAATAAATATCAAAGGTAACACTAACTATAAATGATTATCAAGATTCATCCCTACAAAATAAAGAAGACTAGCCTCAAGATGATATTAAAAATATAAATGCCGAAATGGCAAGTCATCAGCAAGTGATGTAAAATTCTTAAACCTATTATGAAGTTTTCAAATCCATAATTCAATATTTTAAACCTTGCAAACCTCATCAAAAGAGGGTAAATCTTGCTTTGCATCTTATGGACACTGAACATCAAATACAACAACCACAGACAGCATGGAATCCTCATTTAAAAAATCCATAGATGTGAAAGCAATAGGCTTATTAAAAATATGAAAAAAGATTAAAGAAGGAAGAGGAGCTTGAGAAAGGGCATTAGCATCAACCATAGAACTCTTCAAGTAATAAGCAACATCAAAATTATATATTTAAAGCTTCAAAACCCATTAAGCAATACAACCAACTAAATTCTTTTATTTTAATAATGAAGTAACAGTAGCATGATCACCTTTTAGTAATGTCTAAGAACTATGTAAATATATATGAAGTTTTTTAAAACCCCAAACTACTACTAAACACTCTTTTATCATAGAGTAATTCACCTCCATTAGTTGTAATGTACAGTTGATATATGTAATGGGATTGTGCTGATCAAACACACTTGGGCGTTTTTGCATCAATACACCTCTAAAACTAATGTCAAAAGCATCCATATGCAAAATAAAAGGTTAAGTATAGTTAGGATATACCAAAATTGGAAGAGTCGTCAATAGCTCTTTGAGATCTGTAAATGCTCGCTCACAATATGTAGACTAAATGAAAGATGATATTGATGACTTTAGCAATACTCGCAACAGTGTAGTGTGATAAAAAAGATGATCAACAAAACTACCGAGATACTGCATCTTGCCCAGGAAGTGTTGCACATCATTCATACACTTCAGAGTTTCATTAAATATTGATCCCAAGATCTAGTATCAGTAGCTCGTAGCAATTGTAAAGGTAAACTTAACTCTGTTATAGTATTGAATCATAACCAAATAAGAGTTTATATAATAAAGCACCAATAGAACTCTATACCCCTGTGACATATGCATATCAAAGAGATGGCAACTAACTATCCCAATTTAATTGCTAAAAGTTCATTTACTTCATGATTATCCCTTTGAAAATCCAAATAATGTATTTCACTAAACCATCTAACTATGGATAATAGTGTGGCATAAGATGTCAAAACTTGAAATGCTTCTACTATAAATGTGAGACTATTATCTAAAAAAATTTCCTTTGGACAAAAATGTTGAAACCACTTGATTAAGGAGGCCAACCATCATACTGCAATATGAAAGGGAATATTATGAGCCTGGCACCAAACATAGCTATGCACATATTAGATAATATTACATCACATCTTCGGCCAATAGAAATACCTATACAGCTTTTTTATCACAAACTCGGATAGCCCTTGACAAAGATGATGCATTTGTTAGAAGGCATCATCATGATCACTAGCATGTCCAAATACGCATTTGAAGACGTCTAGGAGAATGCTTCAATCCTTATGAGTGGTTATGCTTAAACTATTATACAATTGCAGTGCTATCCTTTAAAGACATATGGGAAATTCATGCAAATACCAAGCATCATCCCAAGAATTATATATAATAATCATTATAAAGTGATTAAACCAATGGTACATATTATCCCTAGGACTCCCATAGAAGAACTCCATCCAAACACGAGGATTGGCAGCAAAAGTAAGAAGAGCTGTATTGCACGTCATAAATGCTGCCATGAATTGAGTTTAATTATTCAATTACAATTGCATAACATAAAAACTATAAGGAAATGGAAATTTAAATGATGCAAAAGCTAGATCTAAATTAAAATCCCAAATCCAAATACTCCTCAGGGACAATTATAATGCCCCTCATCTCCACCAATGTGAGTGCATGGAATATGGAAATGGAATATAGAAATGTGCATAAAACATTAAGAAAATATTCTTTAGTGTACTAAAATATTTTAAAATTTTATTTTTAATGACTCTTTTTGTTGACCTGGCTCTCTTTATTGGTAGATCTGTATATAATCTAGTAAGCTTTTAATGATTAATTTTTTTGAATTGATGAAGTGTGCTCAACATTTCTATTTGTTTGTTTAGGGGCTATGAGAGACTAAAAGCAAATGCGCTTAAACTTTGAAAGAATGTGGAAGTGACATTTCTAATTTTGAAATTATGTAAGAAAAAAAAGTTACTCATTCTAAAAGACTTTTAGCTATACAATTATGTAGCTAAATATATTTACTAGCAAACCAAAATACCAAATAATATTAGTGTTACTAATAATTATAATAATAATATAAATATTCACAAGAGGAACAAAGACTAGTTTTTTGTTTTGCAATGTTATTCAAGAGGATAAAAAAAATAATTGGTAACACAAACACAATATAAATCAATTGGTATGATCTTCAGTCCTCCTGAAACAGCTTTGCAAGGAGGTCCCTCTCGTACACATCAAGCAGCCCATCCTGTGGATTCCACACACATCTCTCTTGAGTATGGGTATGCTCCACAAATCCCTCAGCCTTAAACTTGGAGCACTTCATAGGATGTTGCCAAAA